TGTCTGATGATAGAAGTCAATGTAGTGGTTATCTTGATGGAGGAGGGAGGGTATAGTGATTTGAACACGCAAAAGTAGGCTAGCTTTAAATAAGAAAGCTAGGATAAGAGCCAATTTCAGTTGTGGCACTTGAGAACGGGTGGGTAAACTGCGGCTCGTGAGCCACATGCGGCTCTTTGGATACGTACATGTGGCTCTGAAGTAAAATTGAAAATGAAAATAAAACTATCATAGTTTCACTTATAAAAATTTTAAAGGATATTATTCACATAATGGTGATTTCATTTGTTTTATGACTCTCGAATAATTTTTAAATTGTTGTGAGGGACAGGATTGGCTCTTCTGTCTCAAAAGTTTGCCAACCCTTGCTCTAGAATATCCCCTTTCATTTTCAATGATTTTATGAGTTCCAGTTCATATATGTATAACATGAGAAGAACAGTGAAATCATGAGATGAAATAAATTATAAGATTGGTAATCACCTCCAAGTTAGTTCATTTTAATGTAGTCAGTGGTTCTTAATCCTGGCTACCCATCAGAATTACCAAGGAACTTTAAAAAGCAAACAAACGAAACTGGTTCCTAAGCCCTAATTCTGGACATTAGTTGCTAAAAAATATGTATACTCAACACTACTGAACTGTACACTTAAAAAGGATTCAGATGGTAATTTTTATGTTGTATGTATTTTACCACAATTTTAAAAATATCTACCATTTGTGACAGCATGAATGGATCTTGAGATTATCATGCTAAGCGAAATAAGATGGAAAAAGTCAACCATATACTTTCATTCATATGTGGGATATAAAACTGAAAGCAGCAAACATGACAAACAAAAACTCACAATAGATTAGTAGTCACCAGAAGTTAAGGGGGGAGGGATGGAAGGTAAAAGATAGTAAGGGGGATCAGATATATGGTGACGGGAGGAGATGTAACTTTGAGTGGTGAACACAAGGCAATATATTGGTGTATTATAGAATTGTACACTTGAGACCTATATAATTTTATTAACCAGTGTCACTTAGATAAATTTAATAAATTTTTAAAAAGCTCCACAAGTGATTAATATGCAAAGAGAGTTGAGAACTGACAGTGCTTTAATGCACTGTTTTGGTTAAATGTAATACTGATCTCAAAAATGGATAATTTATTTGATAATTATACTTTTCATTTTGCTGACAAACTTGGTACTACCTTTGCTCTTTTATACTTAAAGTAATAATGCTGTCTAGTTATGTTAGATGCTGTCTTTTTAAAACACCCATGAAGTTTTAAAGTATTTTATTTTAGGTGTAGTAATATGCACTAAAGAGGAGTATTTTAACACTTGTCATTTTTCTTATAATTGTTTTAAAATAAATCGTTTTATTCAAAGTAGCCAGAAAAAGCTTTTTGTTTTGCCTTTCTCCCTTTATTGAATTAATAATTGTAGACTACATACTAATATTACTTTTAACATTCCCTGTTATTTTTTTTTAACCAGGAACTTACAGACTTTTCCTATTAAGACTTCTATTTGTGTTTTAGAAAGGCAGAAATACTGTGAAAGATTGAAATAACCTCTGCACTGTACACCTGAAGATGATATTGTATAATATTATATGTCAACTATAATTGAATATATATATAGTCACAGGATGTGGAGTATTGTGTGGGAGTGGAGTCAATGGAATTGTAATAGATATGTATGATATGGTGGGAGGAGGGGGGCGGCAGATTAGGGGAGGGGGGTTGTCACTTTGAGGGGTAAAAAGTATAACTATTGCGCTGTGTTGTACACCTGAAACTAATAAAAAAAATTATTGAGGACCCCAAAGGAAAAAAAAATTCACAAATCAATGTGATACACTACATTAACAGAATGAAGGATAAAATTATATAATCATCTCGATAGATGCAGAAAGAGTATTTGAAAAAATTCAATATCCATTTATGATGAAGACTTCCAACAAAGTGGTTATAGAGGGAATGTACCTCACCATAATAAAGGCCATATATGACAAGCCCAAAGCTAACATCATGTTCAACAGTGGAAAACTGAAAGCTTTTCCTCTAAGATAAGGAAAAGTGGCTCCCTCTCACCACTTTTTCCAACATAGCATTGGAAGTCCTAGCTATAACAATCAGGAAAGAGGGCCGGCCAAGTGGTGCGTTGGTTAAGAGCTGACTTGGGACGCCAGAGGTCTCCGGTTCAGATCCCATATATGCGGGCCGGTGATGCTGCCCTCTACAGCTAAGATACTGAACGGCAGCTCGACCTGGAGCTGGGCTGCCGTGAGTCGACGGAGATGGGTAGCCTGCAGTCCCTGCTGCAGTAAGTTGCCATAGGCTACCGTGTGTAGCCAGCAGCCAGCGTGAGTGGCCAGCGGCCATCGTGAGTGGCCATCCAGAAGCCGGAGACTGATCTGCCTCGACTGGAAAGAGCGCAATGATGGTGCCAACTTGCGCCAGTGAAGCAACATCCTCTACAACTAGACTGAAGAACAAAAGGACAGCAACTTGTCTGTTCTCCTTCCCCCAATTCCCCAATTAAAAAAAAAAATCAGGAAAGAAAAAGAAACAAAAGGCATCTAAATCAGAAAGGAAGAAGTAAAACTCACTATTTATAGATGACATGATACTATATGTAAAAAACACTAAATTATCTACCAAAAAATTGTTAAAACTAATAAATTCAGTAAAGTTTTAGGACACAAAATCAATATACAGAAATTTGTTGTGTTTCTATGCACTAATAACAAACTGTCAGAAGGGAAAATTAAGAAAACAATCCCAGTTACAACTGCATCAGAAAGAATAAAAGACCTGGTAATAAATTTAACCAAAGAGGCAAAAGACCTATACACTGAAAATTATAAGACATTGATGAAAGAAATTGAAGAAGAGAAATAAATGGAAAGATATTCCATGTTTATGAACTAGAAGAATTAATGTTAAAATGTCCATATTACCAAAAGCAATCTACAGATTTAATGCAATACCTACCAAAGTTCCAATAGCATCTTTCACAGAAATAGAACAAACAATTCTAAAATATGTGTGGAACCACAAAAGACCCTAAATAGCCAAAGCAATCTTGAGAAAGAAGAACAAAGGCTGAGGTATCACACTCTCTGATTTCAAACTATAATACAAAGGTATAATAATCAAACAATATGGTATTGGCATAAAAACAGGCACATAAATCAATGAAACAGAATACAGAGCCTGGCAATAAACCCTCTCCTATATGGTCAATTAACTTACAACAAAGGAGCCAAGAACATACAATAGAGAAGGGACAGTATCTTCAACAAATGGTGTTTGGGAAACTGAACAATGACATACAAAAGAATGAAAGTGGTTCACTATCTTATACCATACACAAAAATTAACTCAAAATAGATTAAAGACTTGAACTTAAGAACTGAAACTGTAAGATTCCTAGAAGGAATTGTAGGTGGTAAGTTCCTTGACATCTATCTTCAAAATGATTGTTTGGATTTGACACCAGAGGCAAAGGCAACAGAAACAAAAATAAACAAATGGGACTACATTAATCTAAAAAGCTCCTGCACAGCAAAGAAAAGCATCAATGAAATAAAATGGTAACCCACTGAATGGGAAAAATATTTGCAAATAATGTATCTGATAAGGGGTTAATATCCAAAATATATACAGAACTCATACAACTCAATAGCAAGAAAAAAAACTCAGATTAAAAATTGCGCAGAGGATCTGAATAGACATTTTTCCAAAGAAGATATACAAATGGCCAACAAGTACATGAAAAGATACTGAACATCACTAATTATCAGGAAAACAGAAGTCAAAACTACAATGAGATATGACTTCATACCTGTTAGAATGGCTATTATTGAAAAAGACGAGAGGATGTGGAAGAAAGGGAACCCTTGTGCACTGTTAGTGTGAATGTAAATTGGTGCAACCACTATGGGAAACAGTATGGAGGTTTCTCAAAAAAAAAATAGGAGCCGGCTGAGTGGCTCAGTTGGTTAAGAGTTGGCTTAAGAGTGCAAGCTCTGAGTAACAGCGCTGCCAGTTTGATTCCTACATGGGTCAGTGATGCTGTGCCCGAGCTGAGCTGTTACTGAGCTGCCAACAGGTAGCAGGATGACTCAGCTGATATAACAACAAGATTGCCTGTCCGATGGTGGGCTACACCCACCCTCAACTAAAACTGAACTTGGCACCTTGAGCTGAGCTGCTGCCTGGATGGCTCAGTGGATACAGCATGCGCTCTTAACAAGGCTGCTGGGTTCGACTCCTACATGGGATGGTGGCTACGCCCACCTGCAACTAAGATTGAAAACAGCACCTTGAGCTTAGAGGCCACGAGCTGCCGACGGGAAGCCAGATGGCGACTGGCACCCTCCACAACGAAGATTGAAGAACAACTTGGCTGGTCCCCTCCCCAATTCCCCAACACTGTTCTCCTCCCCCAATTCCCCAATTAAAAAAAAATTAAAAATAGAACTACATATGATTCAGCAATTCCACTTCTAGGTATTTATTCAAAGGAAGTTAAAACACTAACTTGAAAGATATCTGAACCTCAAGTTCATTGCAGCATTATTTACAATAGCCAAGACATGGGAGCAACCTAAGTGTCTGTCAACAGATGAATGGGTAAAGAAGACTTATATGTAATACATATATGTATATATATGTATATATATATACTATATATAAATGAAAGATTATTCAGACAAAAAAAAGATTGAAATAACAAATCATCCAAAACTAAGGCATATTATATATGAAACAACTTTTAATACTCATATAGAAAAAAAGCTTGCATTTGTTTAAAAATGGATTCACTTATCATGTGGCTTTTTAAAAATTATGATGTGCTTTAAAATATGTCTGTTACTATTGAATAAAACTTCTTAGTTTCTATAGAAACCATATAAAAAGTACTTTGACAGTAACTCAGTTTTTTTGTGTGTGTGTTTTTTTTTAGGACATGTAGAAAACATTAGAATATCAAGATTTGAAGTGGTTAAGAATGTCTCTGCCAAGTAGACAAACAGCTATTGTTAACCCTCCACCACCAGAGTATATAAACACTAAGAAAAATGGACGATTGACAAATAAACTACAGTATCTACAAAAAGTTGTTCTGAAGGCTTTATGGAAGCATAGTTTTTCCTGGCCTTTTCAGCAGCCTGTGGATGCCGTGAAACTGAAGTTGCCTGTAAGTGTGTCTTAAAATTATGTTAGTTAAAAAAAGAAAAAGAAAACCTTGTAAAATTCTGAAAGAAATAAATTGGTCCTTAATATTATGAAATATATTTATTCAACAACATTGAAGACTATCCCAATGAGTATTTTTTCTAAGTACTGAAATTCTTATTTTAACAGTTTGTAGTAAATTACAGTACATGCTTTCTTGTTAATGCAAGGTTGTCATGAATGTTACCTTTTCCATGAAGTTGCTCTTGACACATCCTGGCAAACTTAGTTGTATTCAACTTTAGGTCTAAACTTTAGGTTAGGAATTCATAGCCATCTGCTAAGGGAATCGTTAAGTAATCTGTAATATAGCTAGTAACCATGGAGCTGGCATTGTACTCTGGATCTGTCAGATTACACAAATACTAGTTTATTCTTCTTCATGCCCTTCATTTTTTAATTTTCCAAGATGCTTTCCATTCTTACATTCTTGTGTTAATTATTCTATATTAATTTACTCTTTTATCCTCTGAAAAATAATGTCATGGCAATCAAGTTTGTTTCTCATTACTAATGGTTTTGGTTTCCAGATTATGGCTTTTTAAAGGTAGTTAATGGTTCTCTCTAGTTACAGGTGTATAGTTTCTTAAATTTCTCTGTTAATAGTTGTAATGCATTCATTCTTAATACATTTATAACATCTTGAAAACCACAGGATTATTATACCATTATAAAAAACCCAATGGATTTAAGTACAATTAAGAAGCGCTTGGAACATAAATATTATGCGCAGGCTTCAGAATGTATAGAAGACTTCAACACAATGTTCTCAAATTGTTATTTATATAACAAGGTATGTAAGCCTTATGCTATACTTGCTAATTCTTTACTGTTACATATAGGAGATATATTGGAACAAATGTGATTTCAGATTTCAAGTCTTAATGTGATATATTTTACATACTTTTAAGGATAATGTTTTTTCATCATATTTTTTAATTTTCATATGTCAATATTTATTCAGTCTGTTAGCTATATTTTTGCCTGAATAGCTTTAATGACTTATATTTTAAAAAATGAAATACCAGTGATAGTTGCTTTCTGTGAGTAAAATATTATTTCAGTGTTCTCTACTGCACTTCTGTCATTTCACTTGTAAAATGATAAACCTTATTATACACTAAATTTGCTTAGATTTTCATGGTATGGATCTCAGGCCATAACCTAGGAAGCCAAACAAATTACATACTTCTAAACTTCATAATAAGTTGATTTAAAGATCAGACATATTCTCTGATATCCCAGTAGTAGTATTTGCATTTGTGTTCGTGCATTTGCCTGTATGATAATGTATGTGGACATTTTGAATATAATCTTCACATTTGCTTTCATACATAAAATTGGAGTTTTATATTCAATTTTTCCTTCATACAGTATTCCTGTTTCCAGGAATACTACATCCTTTTCAAGCTCTTCTATGATATCGAAACATTGTAAAACTTACATCCTATTTATTCAGAATCACTCGTGACACTGAAATATATTGTAATAATAAAGATTTTGATTTGGTCCCAAGATAATTATCAGTACTACTGTGTCTCTGTGTGTGTGTATGTGTATGTAAACTTAATTTAGAAGTGATACATATTGTTTAATACATACTGTCTAACAGTACTGTGTTACTGCATTCTATAAGACCCTGAATTATAGAAACCTCATATAACGACCATACTGTGTGAACTTATGGTATATTTTATATTTTTCTAGCCTGGAGATGACATTGTTCTTATGGCACAAGCTCTAGAGAAGTTGTTTAGGCAGAAATTATTTCATATGCCACAAGAAGAGCAAGTTGTGGGTGGTAAGGAAAGAATAAAGAAAGGTAAGCCAGGAAAAGGTTAATGTTCTCTTTCTTCCTCTCGTGTGTGTGTGTGTGTGTGTGTGTGTGTGTGTGTGTGTGTGTGTGTACATGTAATGGTTAGAACTCAATAAATCCTCAAGGAGACATCCAGAAGTCTTTCTACATCCTATTCTGTTGGTATAAAATGTCAGTTTAAACAGTCTGCTAAACCTTGAGCACAAGGATAGCTATCATGTAAGATGAGGGAGGATTGCATTGATTATGACCTTGGAGCCAGGTTTCTGATAGCATAGTGCCATTCACATAGTAGGCATCCAAAGCCAATAAATCAGCCACTATGGGTCTGAAGTATCTCTTTTTATTAACTGAAAAAAACTTTAGAGGAAAACAGTTTACAGCTAATAATCTTAATACAGTAATACCTTGGTTTGCGAGCATAATTCGTTCTGGAAACAAACTACTCGTATTGCAAGACATCGCTCGTTTACCATGTTAAAATGTATTAGAAATGTTTGCTCGTCTTGCAGAACACTCACAAACCACATTACTCGCAATCCAAGGTTTTACTGTATTTAAATATGGAATTATAAAATTATTCTGAAGTAGTCTCGCATCCAAGGTTTTACTGTATTTAAATATGGAATTAAAATTATTCTGAAGTAGTCAAATGGATTTATTGTAGAGGTTAACCAAGGTTGTCATAGATCAAATGTTGGCTTATCTTTGGATCACTCAAGCTGTATAACCTTAGTTAAGTTCCTTTATCATTCCATGTTAATTTTCTCACCTATAATGTCAGGGAAATACTTAGCTTTTGTGGTTGTAAATATAAAGTATACAGTTAAGTGGCTGAGATACAGGAGACTTTTAGTGTGGGGTGATATAGAGGTTGGGTTTTGGTTTTTTGCCTTTTAAAATTTACATTTATTTTATTTAATAAAAAGTTCACCCGTTTGCAATCACCAATCTGTTCTCTATGAGCTTCGTTGTTTTTTGTTTTTTTAGATTCCATTTATAAGAAAGATCATATGGTATTTGTCTTTGTCTGGTTTATTTCACTTAGCATAATGTCCTCACAGTCCATCCATGTTGTCACATGGCAAGATTTTAATCTTTTTTGTGGCTGAATAATATTTCGTTGTATCTATGTGGCAGTTTCTTTATCCATTCATCTACCTATGGGGACTTAGGTTGTTTCCAATTCTTGGCTGTTGTGAATAGTGCTGCAGTGAATGTGGGGGTTCAGATACCTTTTTAAAGTAGTGTTTTCGTTTTCTTTGGATAAATACCCAGAAGGGGAATTGGTGGATCATATGGGTAGTTCTATTTTTAATTTTTTGAGAAACCTCCATACTGTTTTCCCTAGTGGTTGCACCAATTTACGTTCCCACCAATAGTGCACGAGGGTTCCCTTTTCTCCACATTTTTGCCAAAACTTATTGTTTGTCTTTTTCATAATAGCCGTTGTGACTGGCATGAGGTGATATCTCATTGTGGTTTTTGATTTGTATTTCTCTGATGATTAATAATGAGCATCTTTTTATGTACCTGTTGGCCATCTGAAAAATGTCTATTAGGTCTAATGCCCATATCTTTAATTGGATTGTTGATATTTTGCTATTAAGTTATATGAGTTCTTTATATATACCGGGGCAGCCAAAAAAATATATACAAGTGTACACTTTGGTCTACATTGCTGAAGCAGTAGTTCACCGTAATCAGAAGTGTTTGGACGCTGATGGTAACCACTTTGAACACCTCTTGTAATTGCAGAAGTCAAACGTGACTTGTATTCATCTTTTGTTATCAGTATATAATGAGTATTAAAATTTTAATACAGTTTTTCTTTCTTAAAATGTGTATACACTTTTTTTGGCACCCTCTGTATTTCAGATATTAGCCCTTTATCAGGTAATCTGATTTGCAATTATCTTCTCCCATTCAGTAGGTTCCCTTTAGTCCCCTTCCCCTCACAGAGCTTTTTGTCCTAGTAGAGGAAATAGATAAGATTAAGTAAATGTAAGTATTCCTTATTACACTTGCCTGTTTGGCTCCTGAGCTCAAAGAGCAATGGTTGGGAGGATATCAAAGGATATAAGGATGTCTGAATCTTTTTGATTCCTAAGATTTAGTTAATGAGTTGTGAGAACTTAGAGATTGAGGAATACCAACCCTATCTTAAAATGCATTCAAATCTGTTTGGTTCCTGAGTTTGTTTAGCAAGAATATGGAGAGTCAGGGATATGTATTGTATGTCAAATGTGATAAGGGCATGGTAAAAATAAGAATAAGAGAATGAGAGAGTGGTGGTTAGAAAGAGAGAGTTGTTTTATATAGGCTGGCTTGAGAAGGTGACATTTGAGTAAAGCCTGAAGGGAATGTTATAGTGAGCCATGAAGATAAATGCTTCCAGGCAGAGCAGATAGCCTGCTTATGCTTAACCTAATTTGAGGACAGCAAGACCAGTAAGTAAGTTGGAGTGAAATAAGTACGGGGGACAAGTGATAGGAAGTGAGATTTAACAAGGGCTGATGTAGTGGGAAGAAGGCCGAGAGATCATACAGGTGGTTACAAGCCATTGTGAGGACTTTGGCTTTTACTTGAAGAGAAGATTAGAAGTTATTGGGCATTGAGCGCCAAGTATCATAATATTTGAATTTTAAAAGATTACTTTGATTGCTATTTTGAGAATAGACTACAGGGTGTAAAAGCAGAAGAAAGAAAGCCTCTTAGGATGCTATTGCAATAATGCAGTTGAGAACAGATGATGCCCTGGGCCAGGGTGATTACCACTTGTGAGAAATATATAGCTGGATTTGGGATATGAAGATAGAACCAAAGGGTTTGCTGATGGATTAGATATTATTGGGTTTGAGAAAAAGTAGAGTCAAAGACGACTCCAAGGTTTTTGCCCTGAGCAGTTAGAAGAATAGGGTTGTCTTGATGAAAGAATAGACTTTTGAAATAATAAACTTCAGAATGATGTCATAGCACTCTCTGGGAACATACAGGGCAAAACATGCACAATTGTTCCTTTGACAGAATCACCTGAAGGATATATTGATAAGAGAATAATGGTCACATCTGTTTCAAGCAGTGATAGACTATCTGTAACAATATTGAAATCCTTGGAATTTATGCAGAGCATTCTGAAGACCTCACATAGTACTATATAGTTTGTCTCCAAAATCTGAAAAACTTTGAAAAAAAATTTTTTTTTCTTCTTGAATTTTTATAAGTTTATTTGAGCCAAACTGACATATGCCAGAGAGCAGGATCTCAAATACTCCTGGGATGTCTGAAATTTTTGTTTGTATTTACAGCTACCTGTCTTTTAGTCTATGTTTAACTCAGACATCTTTTTGAATAAAATTGATAAGCCTACCATTATATTAGTAACAGGTTTTGAAGTTTTCCATACACCTAATTGGCCTAACACTATCAGTGAGTGTTTGGGGGAAGATTTCAAAGGGGAATGGGAGTCTACCATGTTTATATTGCTCAAAAACTGAACTAAGTGAATTAAAATAGACTACAAAGAGAAAAATGTGTTAGTTTTATATTTTACTCAAACATTGACTCTGATTCACATTTTACTAGGCACTCATCAGAATGTAGCAGTTCCTTCTGTTAAAGAAAAACAGTTCCCTAAAGCATCAGAAAAAGTATTCAAGCAGCAAGTGACTCCCCCTGTATTTCCTGAAACATTTGTTTCTCCTTTAGATATGGCACAAAGTGCTCCACCCAACTCTACCTCAATAACAGTTGCCCAGGTAAGTTTACTGTAGCTTTAAAACATTTCAGTGTTAACTTTGGTTGTTGTGATATCTGTATCTTTTTTAAGTTGATAATTGGTCTTCAGCATACAGCAGTTAATCTTTTTGTGTGTATATGTTTTGTGAACAGAGACCTAGGATGTGAACCAAATTCTATAGATTTTTTAGGTAGGATTTGAAAAGGTTTAGTATTTTTGTAGTTTTTTTCTTTTTTCTTTTTTTTTTGAACTAGTCATTTTGCCTATGAAAGAGAAATTAACTTGTACTAATATTTAATATGTGGAAAACTTGGTGCTAGTAATCCTTTCCTTTGTTTTTTTTTTAACTGATAGGGATAATGATCAAAAAAATTGAAAATTGTTGCTCTGAATGTCACCTTAATTATAGTTTTTTGTTATTGAATTGTTTTGTTTTAGGTTACAAGGGGTGTGAAGAGGAAAGCAGATACGACAACTCCTACAACTTCAGTAGTTACAGCAAGTGATGAATATATCCCAGCACTCACAGAAAAAAAATCAGTGAAAATGCCACCTATAAAAGAAAGTGTGCTAAAGAATGGTTTGCAGGATTCGCAGCAACAATATAACATTGTCAAGAGTGTTATCCTAACAGAACAATTAAGGCACTGTAGTGAGATTCTTAAAGAAATGCTTTCAAAGAAACACTTTTCCTATGCATGGCCCTTTTATAACCCTGTTGATGTTAATGCATTGGGACTCCATAACTACTATGATATTGTGAAAAATCCAATGGATCTTGGAACTATCAAGGTAAATATTGTCTTAATAGTAGAGACTTCTTTTCTTGATTAGAAAAGGAATTTGTCCTTGTAAAGAAATTTAAAATTCAGAAACTGATAAAGAAGAAAATAAAATCACCAGTAGTCATACTACCTGGAGTGAATCATGGCAACATTTAAAAATGTATTTTTATTTTCTATTCAAATACATCCATTGTTCTTTACCACAGAATTTGAGTTACAGTATGTACCTCTGTACCCTGAAATTTCACTTACTTTATTGTGGACATTTTCTCATTATATTCAAGAATATTTTTAATAAATGCATAATTCTAATGCAAAAATTTTTGGGTGGTAAGGCATTTATGTAGTGTCTAACCCTCTCCATTTTTTTGTTTTTTTGCTGGATTGGTCATTTTTGTTTATTGTTAATTTGGAAACTTTAAATTATTGGCAAAATTTATTTATATTAATTTTAAAGAAAGCTACTAAAAACAACTGTAGCATTTACAAAATTATTATCAATCTTTCTCATGAATGACTGTTCATTGTACTCTCTTATTGTCTAGCAGTTTGGTTCTTTTACTTTTTATTTTATTTATTTATTTTAAAGATTTTATTGGGGAAGGAGAACAGTGTTGGGGAATTGGGAAAGAGGAACAGCCAAATTGTTGTCCTTCGATCTTAGTTGTGGAGGGCGCAGTTAGCTCAGCTCCAAGTCCAGTCGCTATCCAGCCGCCCATTGGCAGCTCACAGCTGTTCATCTCAAGGTGCCGTGTTCAGTCTTAGTTGCGGGTGGGCTACGCCCCCATCCCATGCTGGAGTTGAACCCTGCAACCTTGTTAGGAGCACGTGCTCTCACCAGCTGAGCCATCCTGCCACCTGTTGGCAACTCAGCAGCAGCTCAGCTCAGTCGCAGCTCACTGGCCCATGTGGGAATCGAACCGGCAACCCTGTTGCTCAGAGCTCGAGCTCTTAAGGCTACTCTTAACCAACTGAGCCACTCAGCCGGCAACCTAGAAGTTTGGTTCTTTTAAACAGTTTTGGTGTTTTTTTTGTTATCAATATTAAGTTTAATAGATTACTAATTTTTGAGTTCAATCTTATTTCTTTTATCTTAATCTTTTCCTCTTGGTTTGTTTTTCCTTTTGCTAAGGTGCAAATTTTTTGTGGCTCATCCACAAGCACTTGTGTGTGTATATTTTGTCTTTATTCTTGAATGATTCTTTGTCTATGAAATTCTAGAATGACAGTTATTTTCCCTCAATGCTAAGAAGATATCTCCAGCATCCATTATTGCTGATAAGAAAGCTGTCAATCTACTTGTACCTTTGTAGGTAATTTGCCTTTCTTCTCTCTAGTTGTGCATTTAATTTTATTCACCTGATTGGAAATTAGCACTTTCAATCCGAAGCGCACATTTTAAGTTCTGAAAAAAACACTTAACCATTATCTCTTTAAAACATGCTTCTACTTTTTCCTGTATATTAACAGACTGAGAGGTAATGAAACATGACCTGCACTAGGTAAACCTGAACTGACTCTTAAAGGATAAATAGGACTTAAGTTATAGGATATTCCAGGCAGGGGGAGCAACTTGGAAGACCTTGAGATGAGGAAATCATATCCAGAATACTATATTTAGTCCAACGTGGAACATGGAGAATATGAAGTAATGACTAGGGGAAAATGAGACTGAAAGAAAACAGGCCTGAATGTGAAAGACCCTCATTGTAAAGAGGCCAAGAGCTTCCATTAAACATGAGAATTATGTCCTCATATTTGATTCTTAGAATGATTTCTCTAGCAGCAATGAGGAGACTGGTTAGGAGGCTATTGTAGGATTGCAAGGGTAAGAAGATGGAGACTTGAATGTAGTACTCTGAAATCATTCCCAATCTCCAGTGATCTGACTGGTAGGAAATCATTCCGTTTTAGTTTTGCGTTTCTTTAATTACAAATGAGAGTCTGGCATGTTGTATTTATTTGTTGGCTTTTTGTATTTGTTTATGAATTGTCCATTAATATACACATATTTTGCCCAGTAGGCTATAGGATTTTCTTGTGTGTTTGCTGTTTTTCTTTTCATTGTGTCTGCCTAACTGGCTATTCCACATCCCTATTCTTCTATCTACTTTATATGCAGCTACCTAAAAATGTAAAACTGTGCTGATATTTCTCTTCTGTTCAATTTTTAATGTATTTTAATTCCCAGGAGAATTTTATTATAAACCTTATGTTTAGATGTTAAAGTTTGGTTTCAGTTATCTTTTCACTGCTTTCTTACGATCAGACTGTGTATCCAAGATTATCTGGAAATATCCTGTTTTCCTGCTTTTGTGGTTTTGTGACTATTCTTTTCTTTTTTTTTAAAAGATTTTTATTGGGGAATTGGGGGATGGGAACAGCATTGGGGAATTGGGGTAAAGGGAACAGACAAGTTGCTGTCGTTCTGTTCTTCAGTCTAGTTGTGGAGGACGTCGCTTCACTGGCCCAAGTTGGCACCATCATTGTGCTCTTCCCAGGTGAGGCAGATCAGTCGCCGGCTTCTGGATGGCTGCTCACAGCAGCTGCTGGCCACTCACGCTGGTTGCTGGCTACACACGGTAGCCCATGGCAACCCACTGCAGCAGTGGCTGCAGCCTACGCCGTTGCCGACGACTCACGGCAGCCCAGCTCCAGGTTGAGCTGTTGTTCAGCATCTTAGCTGTAGAGCGCAGTGTCACTGGCCCTCATGTGGGATCCAAACCGGGGCTCTGGTGTCCCAAGCCAGTTCTTAACCATCGCGCCACTTGGCTGGCCCCCAAGCCAACTCTTAACCAACGTGCCACTCAGCTGGTCCATGACTATTCTTTTCTTTACTTGGAATGCCCTCCTTCCTTATCTCTACTTGTCAGAATTTATTGTATTTTTCAAAGTCTAAAAATATGAAACAAATAGAACAGAATTTTAATATATGTCAGATCTAGATGATGGGTATCTGTTTTGGCATTACCTGTATGTTTGAATTCATAATGTGAACACTTAATATAGTTGCTCAAATAATCATTGAACTATGTTGTTTATGAGTCCTGTAATTTTTCCTTATTTTAGAGAAAAATGGATAACCAAGAATATAAGGATGCATATGACTTTGCTGCAGATGTTAGATTAATGTTCATGAATTGCTACCAATACAACACTCCAGATCACGAAGTGGTGGCAATGGCCAGAATGCTCCAGGTGAGTTGTTACGTGTGCTCTGAACCTGGGTGTCCTCCGAACACAGTTTAGAAATTTTAAAACTATAACTCGGGAGATAAAGAATGACCCCCCCCCAAGTAGTAAAGCACAATTTATAAATTATACTCTTAAAAATTGGGAAGGGTGGTTTTTTTTTGTTGTTTTTTTTGAGATATAGCATCCTTTAGTAGCAAATCGTTTAATAAAGCTGCCTGCATATAAAGGATATTGGGGGAAATATTGGTGAAAGGGGATAAGTAGATATCCAAGATAGAGTTGACTGGACCCCATGTCCCACTGAAGGGAAGGCTTGAGATTTTGAGGCTGAGTCATTGGGGCATACCCACAGGGCAGAAGATCCTTGAGAAAGGTCCCCTATATAACTTGAGAGGGCTGTCTTACGTGGAAAAAAAGGAGAAAAGTTACTAAGGTTGGCAGGCAGGGAAGCATGAGTCTTATATATCGACTGGTAAATTGTTTTTCGAGCTTTATAGGGATATAATTGACATATAACATTGTATAAGTTTAAGGTGTACCATATGATTTGATATATGTATATATTACAAAATGATTACCACAAGGAAAAATAGAATTGTGAAACTATGACTCTAAAATGTACCTTTTGTTAAAAGGTGGTATTGCTGCATTACATAAAGAATGCAGAAAACTATAACAATCTAATTTTTCATTATAGGGTGTTTTGTCAATGGGAGTGCTAACCTCTCTTTTCGTATACCACCATTATAGGATGTTTTTGAAATGCATTTTGCAAGGATCCCAGATGAACCTGTTGAGACTATGCCTGTATGTTACATCAACACAGATACCACTAAAACCGTTGGTAGAGAAAGCAGTAGTGAGGCTTCCTCTGAAGCTAATTCTGGTGATTCTGAAGATGAACGAGTCCAGCGTCTTGCAAAGCTTCAGGAGCAGGTAGCTGATTGTATTGATACAAGGTTGTTTCTTCTTTCTTTTTTTAGCTTTTTTTTTTTTTTTATAATTGGGAACAGTTTATTTTCTCAGGACCCATCAGCTCCAAGTCAAGGTTGTTTCAATCTAGTTGTGGAGGGTGCAGCCCAGTGGTGCATGTGGGGATCAAACTGGCAACCTTGGTGTTATGAGCACTGTGCTCTAACCAACTGAGCTAACCAGCTGCCCCTTGATACAAGTCTTTATATTCTTTCTATGAGCTGCTGCTGCTTATCTATTATAAATCCTTTTTGTAGATTAAACGTTGTTATATTTAGATCACTTAGCAACTGTAGCTTTATGTATTGGTATATTTGTACTGTTTAATAGTCTTTCCTACCAAAAAAAGTATTTAAAATTCTGTTATTTATATTCCTCTAACCACAATGAGTTGATTAACATTGAAATGATTTATATGACGTAATTGGAGATAATTATGGATGAGATCTTTATTTAACGTTTGCTACCTTTTGTGATAAAATGTTAACCTGCTCTAAGCTCAAGCCTGAAAAATCAATGATTAAAAACTTAAGACTACCTGGAAATGTTAATTATTCTTGGTCTGGTTTTAGATGAATATTTAAGTTCATGGGTTGAGCACATGATAGTGTTTGTAGCTTAATGTATGCCCTTCAAGATAATGAATTTGTGAAATGAAAAAAGAACCTGAAAGCAATGTAATATGAAATGAATTTCACGAAGGACACTCTTGACTTGTGAGTGCATCATTTTTTTCTAGTGTCTTTAATTATTTAGAGCCATGATGTTTTTTTCCTTTATCAGCTTAAAGCTGTTCATCAGCAACTACAGGTTCTGTCCCAAGTACCTTTTCATAAGCTAAAGAAAAAGAATGAGAAGTCTAAAACGGAAAAGAAAAAAGAAAAGTGTAATAACAGAGATGAAAATCCAAGAATTAAGCAAATGAAATTAAAGTCCAAGAACAAGTAAGTATCTTTTATGGTGCCTTATTAAAACAACAATATTATCTAAAGTAAATTTGACTAAATTTAATTTTTGTTATAGTCAGCCAAAGAAGAGGAAAGAACAGGTCTTGGCTGTGAAATCTAAGGATGAATATAATGTTAAACCTATGAACTATGATGAGAAAAGGCAGTTAAGTTTGGATATAAACAAACTCCCTGGAGATAAACTTGGGAAAGTTGTACATATAATACAATCAAGAGAACCTTCATTGAGAAATACCAACCCCGATGAGATAGAGATAGACTTTGAAACACTGAAAACAACAACACTAAGAGAACTAGAAAAATATGTTGCTTTGTGTCTAAGAAAAAGACCACTAAAACCTCGTGGTATGTATTTCTGTATATTAGTAGAAATCAGTCTGGTGTTCATTAGCATTGAGTTATTATACCCATTCTTTTTTTGTCCTAAATCATACAGGTAAGAAAATAATGAAGTCCAAAGAACTTCAGTTACAGAAAAAACAGGAGTTGGAAAAGCGGTTACTGGATGTCAATAATCAGTTAAATTCCAGAAAACGTCAAACAAAACGTAAGTGGCAGTGTTCAAATGTTTCTGTGACTGTTTAATTCTATTGGCATTTTAATGTGTTTCCGTATTTTGTAGCTGAGAAAACTCAACCAGTGAAATCTCTTGGAAGTGGCTCCCGACTGAGTGACAGCAGCAGCAGCAGCAGCTCATCAGAGTCTGACAGTAGCAGCAGTGATTCAAGTTCTTCAGACAGCAGCGATTCCGAATCAGGTTAGCCATCCCCTTAAGTGTACCTCTGGTTGTGGGAACATTTTTTTCTTGTAATATTGAGACTTACATTTGGAAGAAATGTTTGTTATTTACCCAAAATTTGTGTCTTGGATGCCACAGTTATTTAATTGCATGTTGATGATCTCACTATTTTCCTTAAAAGAGATACTGTGTAAAATAAAAGTTCATATTATACATATGTGACTTATTGGTTTGTAATGTAAAAAAAAAATTTACTAAAGGTGTGATAGTCTCTTACTATAATACCAGATCTTATTACCAGAAAATATCAAATAATGCAACACTGATCTGCTTTTTATAAAATAAGAGATTATTTGAGGACATCTTTCACTTTACTTTTCATGATATAGCAGATCACTCTAATGTGGCAAAGTACATCCTGTTGTGACAATATATTCTGAATTGAATAATCATTTTGAATTAAGAGACCAGTCATTCTGGAAGCTGTGTAAAGCAGAAATTTTTCACCTCTGTTTTCACTGCAGAATATTACATTTATAGAAAAATGTACTTGAATTCAGATTCTCAGTTATGCTAACATACCATCCACCTTGTATAGTTTATGGTCATCTGTATAAAACTCACTTGTGTTTCTTTGTGCTCTTTCATTGATAGTTATGTAGTTGACAGGTAATCACTGCCTCAAAGAACTGACTTGGCGGTGGCATTCCTCCATTGTTCAACAAAAGACAAATTTAGAGCACGTTTATGCCTAAAATTTAACTTTATTTTAATGAGATGTTTCCTGTTTGTCATGAAATTCAGTTCTTTTATTTATTTTATTTTATTTTATTTTATTTACCTATTTTTAAACATATCCTATAGAAAATACTGTTACGTCAGGAATTTTTACCACTTATAAGACTCTCTCTTATTTCAGGCTGGTAGTAAGGGTCTGCTGACCCGTACTACATTCTGTTTTCACTTCTGGTTCTGTTTAGTTTGCATTTATGTGGTGCCAGTTGCTGCTTTTTGTTTTGACATTTGGTATACATTTTTGTTAGAATAAAACAGAACTTTTAATTTTATTGGAATTTCTCATTAGAAAAAAATTTTAATTTAGGGCTCTGATTATACATTATTTCCTTACATTTGACTTTTAAGCATAAAACAATGCTGGAAAAACTCTAAGTTGCATTTAGTATTTTAAATTGTAATTAGCGTTTGTAATTTCATCTAATAAAGCATTTGTGGCCTAATAAGTTACAGCACTTTGTCTTTTATTTGTAGGATAAAACTTATTGAAACTTAGTTTGAATTATCTAATTTGTCTGACTACTGATCAATAAATGTGTTGAGTATTAGAGGAACAGTACTATAATGTTCCTTCATTTTCAATAAAATGCCTTAATTTTATTTAGAATGATCAGTTTCTGATAGAATCTTCCAACATACTGCTTAAAGGAAAGAATGTTTATCATCCGCTATGTTTTCTTAAAATGATGTGATATTTAGTATGTTTTCCTAACTTCTAGCCTTGGAATTGTAACTTTAAAATACTATGTTGAATTTTTATTTTATGATTGACATTCTTGTTTAATGTCATTTTTTTTCAAGTAACGGGCTGGCTTCAAAAACATTATTGTTAAAATCCAAGTAGCAAATTTTTATATTTCAGCCTACATTGTGATAGTGTCTTTTATCACGATATAGTCTGAGTTATCATTTATCTTTTAAATTTTCATTGTTTTATGAACATTCAAACTGTGCTTCATTGGAAAAACACTGTATTCATGAGTTATAAATTACAAAGAAAATTCCTAACTTAATGAGGAAAAACAATTATATTTTTGCTTAATAAAATAAATTAGTAAATGAAGCACTAGGACCTTTTGTCCTAAATATTAGCTTCAGTTGTACCCATTAAAATACTGTAAGGCTCCATTTCTAGTGTATAAGCTAAGAACATCTTTTACTTTCCTGAGAACACAAAAAGTATAAATAAAGGGATTATAAGTTATGAAAAATTATTATCAGACCATATCAATAATAACTGTTGTAAAAATAAGTAAAATGTTCACCATTTTTAATTATGCACATGACATTCTCAAGGTGCAGATGACCAATTCCCAAGTCTGAGTTTCAAGGTGCAGGAAAATGGGACTATTCACTGAGAAAATAGAATTTTTGAAAATTAGATACATTAGCAAAAAACTATGTTACGTAAGTAAAAATTAACTGAAAATATAAGATTTTATAGCTTTAAAATCTATTATAATTTTGGTTATCAGGAACAGGGCTCTAAATTAACTTTTCTAAATTTGTTAATATTATTGACTCTTAAGGTTCTTCCAGTTATACTGTATTACAGTTGGTCTCTGCTGCAACATCATTCTGTTTAGGTGTACCAAAATTTTTTAAGGGCATTTGTGAATGCCCTTATCTGTGAAAAGCACTTAACAGTTGTACATAGTGTTAGAGCTGTTTATTCCACATTAATTAGATAATTATCTTTTAGGTATTCTCAGACCTTATTTTTAAAAACATGGATTTAATTCTTCTTTGTTAAATAGGATAAATTAGTGGCAGAACAGTGATTTCCAAGAAAAGTTATTAAAAAAATTATTTAATTATCATTTCAAACGAGATATTTAATTATCATTTCAAACAAGGCAGTTCCAACATAGAATAGTAAAGAAATCCCAAATCTTTAAAAAATACAAACGAAAAGTTTGTGGGCTAGAAGCAGTACTTAATTACAAATTTCAGGGTAATTTGATCTTATTTAAATTATATTCTTGTCTGACATCAGCATATGCAATTTGTCATGTGCAGATAAGTCAAGAAAATTTATTAAACATTGGTATAAATATAAAACTTTTCCGAACTATTTTTTATAACCGTCAAAATCTCATTAAATGTCAGATCAAAGATGTAAATGAGGCTTGACAAAATGAATTCCAGATGCGTACATCCTATGTAAGCTAGGCTGTGCTAGTATGTACAAATAAGCTGTTGAGAGTTTTCTAATGCTTAATGATAGCTATCTTGAGTGATGTAATACAGAGGAATATAATTATTAGATTAATCGTGTGACTAATATTACTGAGAAATAAACACAGCAGCTCATTGGTAGTAGTGCTTTAGAATGAAATCTTACAGGAAATAACTTCAGGAACTGTCTAAATGTAAGCTCAGATACTTGATTAGTGTGGAATAGAATATTTTCCAGGAATGTTTATAATTTCAATTGCTAAACAGTAACACACAAAGAAACTCAATGGTTATGGCATCAATTCTTTACCTGGTGAAGACAAAGTAAATTTATCATTTCATACTTCGTATTTTTTGCTTTTATTGGTTTTGGTGTAATGTGCAGAGAATGAAATTTAAGTAAATTTCTTTAACAATAGTTTTTTTGGTTTGTTTTATAACTTATTAGTTATGAGTGAGAGAATAAAAGAAAGAAAATAAAATTTTTTCTTTTTAGTGCTACAATCTAGATCTTCTGTAGAAGTGACAAGGGGAAATGGACAAACACAGTTTGAGTCTAAATATTTTACCTTTTTAGAGGAAGGATGGTTAAGTAAATGTAGGAAGTACAAAATGACAGTTTTGGAATAGCCTTTACCTTTCAAGCTAGAAAGTTTAAGAGAAATGATAAGAGTTCATCATTTAAATTTTTAAAACTTTCATTAGGTTCTCATCAAAGTGTTTTCAAAGAACCAAAAGGATAAATTCAAGGACTCAGCCTTGATTAAAAATTTGCAATGTTGAAGTCCATACTTGAGCCTTGAGTTTTATAAATAGTGATAAATTTTGTCTTGTGTATTTTAAAATTTTCTATTCAAACTGGATCTTGAATAAACAAGCTGTGTAGAATGATGTTTCTCAACCTTGGCAGCATATTAGAAACACCTGTAAAACTTTTAAATGTCCAGATCTGAATCGATGGGAGAGCGACCCAGGTATATGCAGTGTTAAAAGTATCACAACTGACTAATGTGCTGCCATGTTTGAAAACCATCAATCTAAGTTTTTTCCTTTTGTTTGTTTCCACTTCCTAACTCTAGTTAAAGTGATATTGGTAAAAGGAATGGGCAGTTTATAATCAGTTTTTTCTGTATTAAAATAAGCACCAAACAATTCAATGAACGTTGTAAAAACATTCTTTAAAGGAACCAATTTTTTTCAGTTCAAAAACAAATTGCTTGATTTTTATCAGCAGAACGTGGCTTAGGTAAATAAACTTGGTTGGGCAAATCATTTTATGTCTCTGGACATGCTTTTTTTCCTATAAAATAAGGTAGCAGAACCAGGTAGTGACTTCCAATCACTGTTCTATACCCTGCCCTACGTAACGGAAGTATGAGTTGTTTTTCCAATTTAAAAACCTTCAGTAATTTTTTTCTGCTACATATGGCATTACATTCTGGTTTTACATTCTGGTGCTATATTTGTATTCAACTTATCTAGTTTTTAAGTCCGTACTGGCTTGCTGATAATATTTGGTATCTCTGGAGCATTTATCTCAATGCTATGATAGGTGATGGGTATTAAACAAGCTCTTTAATCAAATGTATGATTTCAGCTCTCTCTTTTTGTCTTTTGTGATTTTTGCCTTAGTTGATAATGAAAACTCTCCAATTAAACTTTTATATTGGGGTTTTGGGGAGATGTGAAAATAACACACCTTACATAATATGTACAGTATGTATTTGTTTAGTAGGTTGTGTGTATTATGAAATTTGATCCTCATAAGGTAGGTATGCATGCTATCACAGTTCCCTGGAGAAATTAGGTGACAGTGTGTGTGTTGTCACTGTAGCACTCAATTTCATTTGTTTGCAATACCTGGTAGTGCTTCTTTGCTAATGGAAATGTGATCTTAAGCTGGATAGCGAAAATGTGTTTGCCTTTTAATTCCAAAGGCCAGGAACTCATAAATAAACAGAAATGAGGAGATTAGTTACTATGTTCCTGTAAAGCCAGTGATGTAAGAGTAGAATGAGCACACTGCTTTGTTTTAAGCTACCATTATTCATCTATGTATAGTCTCTAAGACTTATGAGACATACTATATTAGGTGGCTTTGGGGTTTTTTTTATGGTTAAAATTCTTTGATGTCTTTTGCTAGTGTCTTCAGATTTTGAGGTGCTAATTTTTATAATATTTCAGAGCTTTAGTTTTATATGTCAGAAAATCGAGATAATGCCCTTTGGATTTTTTAGCAGAACACTAACGTGGTATGTCATATTTTTATTATAATTAAGAGTTTATATCATAGAATAATGCAGTTTAGGCACATATTTGAATAATTAAGATAGATGTGGGGATGTGCATATATTATGTGATTATATTAATGAAGTCTGTTTTTGTTTAAAGATGAAACCATCATTTCTCCCCTAAATGCGAGGGCCACCTCAGTCGTTGCAGTCTCCTTTCTCTTCCTCCTTCCACCTGACCCCCAACACTTAAATAATACTTAGTGGAGTGACATTAATGGTTCATGTCATTTTAAATACTTGAATTCTTTAAATTAAAGCACGTTTATTGAGTGGCATTTAGCAATTTTAACAATGTCCAGCATCAAACATTTTAGGAGAGGAAAGAACAGTAACACATCCAGTGGAAACACATCCAATGGCATTTCAAGAGGCAGAAGGTAATTATTAAAATTAGAATATTTTAAGTTTGAATAAGATTCCATGTTGACCAGCCTTGGAGCCTGAAGCAAATTATGCTTAGGGTACTCACGAAAGCTGGCCTGGAGAGATGGGTCAAAGCATTGACTACCAGTTTGGTGCTTGACCACATTGACCTAAGCTTGCGATTGGGAAGGATAGCACCATAATCAATGTTAGGATAAAGAACAACCTATGAGCACCATGTCAGAGAGATCTCTTTTTATATTCTACTGCCAGTGTCAACTTTAAAAGTGTTTGTAAAGATAAAGGAGTTACTATAAACCATATAGTTGAGGCTCCCAAATAGCTTAGAAGCAACTAGAATATTCATTAGATGGGATCTTTATTATAATGCTTAGCAAGCAGAGCATTGAAATCAAATAACTTCACTTGTAATAAAAGACTGTATCCTCTCAGATAAACAACACACCCTTCTCTTATAGTAAGTTCTTATTTTAGTCAAATCCCTTATGGCTATATATTTCTGACTACTTGGTAAAGATGATTTTAGTATAATTGGTACTGTTTGTTTAAAACCTGTCTGTTGTGACTTGTTCCTTTACAAACCATCACATTTCAAGCTCTTAACTGAGAAGTAACACTTTTTTTTCCTAAATAAAACAAATTGAAATATGTGAGTGGATATTTATTCCACTATGTAAAAAAAAATATCACTTTTTAAAAGGCTAGTATCCCTTTGGAAATTTTGACTGCTTCAAAGAGGGCAAAAACCTGGTAACTATAAGAGCCTCTTGATTTAAGAGGTTGGTGCGTTAAAGGCATTTTCTTGATCACCATTTTATTTCTAATGTGAAAAAAAATATTTTAGATGCAATTTTAAGCTGACAAACATTGAAATACTTACTTATATACACTTGCAGAAATGTTACCTAAGTTTACTGAAGTAAAACAGAATGATTCTCCTTCTAAAGAGAAAGTGAAGGTAAGTTAATTCTTCATTTTTACCTTAGAATTTAAAAATGACATATGTTATAACTCACTGGTATAGTAGCTTTATGCACAGTAAGGGGGAATTTCTCAAAGGTAGGAGGCGAATGGTAGTTAGGATTTCTCAAGATACAGCTTGTAATTACCAGCTATTTTAGGACATCCATGTTTGATTGATTAGTGGTTGATGTGCTTTGAAAAGGATAGAAGTGATTTTATTTTATCTTTTACTAATTCAGGTTGTTATCTTCATGAAACTTTTAATCCTTGTACCCATCCCAAATAACAAAACTATAGGCATATACTTTTGTTACATTACAAACTTATTTAACAGCATCTAACTAGGTTAGGGGAATACAACATAAATAACATTGAAAGAGCTCTTAAAGGAGCTCTAAGTTGCAAGAAGACACAAACAATTAAGAGATTGTATGATTAGTGCTATAATAATCTATATTCAGAATTTATTGAAAATGAAAAAGGAACACACACACATTACCTGAAGGAGGGAATGCTTACAATGGGATTTACATTACGGGGAAAGGGAAGAAGTGGTTACTATATTGACATACAGATGAGGGACTTATTTTTTAAACAGGTAGAAAGTAGCCTAAAGAGAGGCAAAAAGGCACAGGAGGTGTGTTCAGGGAAACGGGCGGCAGAGGGTATTTGTAAGGGATTAGTAGGCTTGAGAGATATAACAGGGAGAGCTTTGAACACCTAGGTGAAGTGTTAAAAATATTTAATTTGGTAGGCAGGAGTGAGCTCTCAAAGGCTTTTGAGTAGAAAGAAGATACAGATGGTCTGTCGTGCCATAGGTACTAGTGGAATCAGAAAAATTATATCAAGTTATGAATGAACTTTGGAAGCGTTCTCAATATGTAGCGTGTAGAATGCTGCCTTTATGATCTGTTCGTGGCCACAAATTTTTCAGTGTTGCTCACTGAGGAACAGAATGCCCATTTATGATAAAAGGGAATATATTTATAGGACCATGAATACGTGTGTGTGTGTGTGTGTGTGTGTGTGTGAGTGTGTGTGAGAGAGAGAGAGAGAGAGAGAGAGAGAGAGAGATTTTTTTGCTGATTTAAACCTCAGCATTTGACTTTTAAGCTTTGGGCTTGGATCTGTCTACATTATTGTTAGAATAAACACTCCTATGGCATTAATTTTATTCAAGTTAGCATAGATATTCAAACACTTGCCTTCCCTATTCAGTACTCTAACCCCTTCATTAAACAGAAGAGAAAGACTGTCTTATTCACCTATGTACTATCTACAGCTCAAAGCTTAGTATATAAGGTACCTGGCTTTGGTACCATACTTCGCTTGCCACTGAATAGATGTGAGATTTTAATTAAGTTGCTTTCATTATATCTAAGTCCTATTATAAACTGTAAATGAGGATAATAATTATATTGAACTCAAAGGATTATTGTGAAAATTAAAAAGCTGTATAAAGGGCTTAGCCTTATGCCTTGAACATCATAAGCATTAAATAAGTGTTAGCTGTTTTACAGCTTTTACTTAATAGTTAGCTGAGTGCTGAATCAGAATTTGTTGATAGTCCTATGGGTTGACCATCATGTGGTTTTAACTCCCTGCCCCTCTTATGTCTAATTCAGTAAGGAAAAAAGAGTAAAAGTGGATATGTCTCTAGATTTGGTATAAAGCTAAGTTTTTATTTTCAGTAGATCACAGGAAAGCGTTTGAAAATAGCACTGTTTAATAACATGTAAGTTTATGTATACTAGTAAGTAAGGTCATAGGCTTTAACTAACTCTACTTATAAGCAATATAATGGCCAAGATATTTCTTTATAAACCTTAGTTTGCTCATCTGTAAGATAGAAATAATTATACTGTATAAGTTTGTGTGACTTAATATATTCACAGGTAGTATTAAATTATATTCTTTCCTCTTGTGTTTCTATTTTCTTAGTTATATTTGTGTAGTTAAAACTGAAAGGTAATTTTATTTAACTTTGTCTCAACAGATACAATCTTCTATACAAGATACAATCTCTTGTTCTACTACTCTTGTTTATCAGACCATGCATTCAAGTGGAATACCACCAAATCACTGCCCGTTAGCACTTATTCATCAAGAATTAGAACATTTACAGAGTGTGAAAAACATTTCACCCTTACAAATCCTGCCTCCCTCAGGTAAGAAATTAATAAGTGAACGACTAAAATTGAGAAAGTGACTTCTAAATCTGTATATGAAAATGCTAAGGTTATCTTAATTGTTATGTATCTGGGATACTGAAAATCAACTAGTAAATTCCTGGTTAAAATAATCACTGAGGCACACTGTTATAAATTACCTGCTTTATACCCAAAGGTACTCTTTACATTTGAATGAAAAATTATATGTACAGTTCACATGCAGCTTTCATATACATTATATACATTGATGTGTGGGCCATACATTAAAACCTGTCACTGCTAGAGGCCATACTACCAAGTTCTGAGCAGACTTGGGAAATGTTGCTCTAATTTCTATGACATCTATGTCTATATGGGTTGGAAAGGTGGGATGGAATAAGGAAAAGATAGAGATTCCATAGGCAGAGGAATAAAGTTATATGCATTAGAAATAGTTTACAAGTTAAGGAAACTTGGATCAGAAACGCTTGCCTAATGGTGGTTCCTATTTACCAAAAACATCTTCCAAAGCTGGCTGACTTTATATTGTTAGATTAATTTGACTTTATAAATATCTTGTCTGTTAGTCTTGTCAGAAGTGAAAGTATTGCCTGTCTCACCATGGTTCTCCTGGGGATGTATGGCACAAAGGAGACTTCTGATATTGATGAGCCCAGCCTAGCGGAGTACCTGAACCTTGAGACTCTAATGTATTCAGGCCTAACTAAAGGAGGTGTGGATACTCCTTATCCATGCCGCCATCCCTCTAGGCTGCTCCCTGGTTTCCACTTGGCCTTCCAAGGGCAGGGGTTTCTTCAAAGCAGAAGAAACTTCTAAGCTGTTTTTACTGCAGCATAGAGTAGGAGGATCAGAGAGGTTTTGATCCTCCTTTATTGCTTCCAGTAAAACAGCTCCCTACTATTCTGTGTTTGAGTATTCCATTTTGTATTTAACTTGAGATATAGCTCTTCATTGTGGAGAAGGGAGTGGAGATCAAGAGAGAAAATATCGAAGGCAACACTGGAGGGCATCCCAGGAAGAAGAATAAACAAAGATCCAAAGTGTCAAATATTTATATCCTTTTTTGGAAAAAGATTTTCAAGATACTCAGGAGAATAACTGAAGATGTACTGGTTCTAGGTCATGAATTAACTGTGAATTGCCAGTGCTACATGTGGGTCTTTTATTTTGTGCATAAGTAGCTTCAAACAAGAGCATAACAAAATCAAATTTTATATTTAGGAAGAGATTGCTGCTTACTATATGGAGGTGGGTTAAGATAAAGATGCTCTGATGTAGTTGGGCCAAGTAGGAAGCTGAGTTCCATAGTCTAATAAAGAAATTATGAGGACCAAAACTAAAGTAGTAAGTATAGAAAAGATGTGGATAAATCAGATATTTTTGTGGCAGAATTGCTAGGCTTTGTTAGAATGAATGTCTTACCAGGGTATTATACAACAGTTGGGTTGCAGAAAAGAGGCAGTGCTCATTTTGGACATGAGAGGTGCTGCAGAATATCTAATTGGAAATATACAACTAGAAATAGGTTAGAACTGATGGGGTATAAGAAGAACTATAATTTAAGAATTACCAGTATGTAAAAGCTACTTGAAGCCATGAGGAGTGAGTGAATGAATGAATCAATGAATGAATGAAAACACCCAGGAGAATGTGTAGGGCAGAAAGAGAAAGGTCAGGTCAAGGACAAAATTATAGGAAACAAAAACTTCCTCAGTAAAAGTACGAAAAAATAAGTTAAAAGATGTAATCAAAGGTAAAAGAAGAAAGAAAATTGGTACAATAGAAGTCTAGAAATAGGGTTTTTTAGGAGAAAATCGTCAAGAGGATCACATACTACAAAGCATTAAAGTAGGATATGGAATAAGGAGAGGATTAAAGTTGGGAATGTGAGATTTTTTTGCATTTGCAAAAAGCATTTTTAGTGGCCTTTGTAATTGGGGCAGAAGACAGATTGTTGTAAATAGAGAAGTAATGGAATCTGAGTATAAACCAGTCTTTCAAGAAGTTTGTTGATTTTTTTTTTGTAAGACTGAGAACAGTTGTTTTGTTTTGAGTTTTTGAATCGGAGAGATTTGAACATGTTTGAAGTTCGATCAGAAAGAACACGGGTAGGGAAAAGTTTTTATTTTCATTATACTGAGTTCATAGAAGAATGGTAGGGATAGCCTTGAAGAATAAAGACAATGAAAAACAATAGAATGCAGTGAAGATGGTCTTTTGTTTAAGAAAACATCCTACCTATGAAAAGTCAGGCTTTAAATATCTAAGTCTTCAGTCAGGATCAGTTTATTGTATTCCTTCCATTTCTGTTTACCTGTGATTGTAAGTAACATAATATTGTGTAAAGGGAGGGCTTGGATGATGCTTGTAGAGAGGCTGGCTGTTCTGCATGCACCAAATTTTCCAGAAGCAAAGTGGTTTGCATTTGCCAACTGCAGGTGGCACTATCCCCAAGGGAATCTGCAAGTAAGCTATAAAATGTATATAGATTTTTCCTTTTCTGGAGTTTAATCTTGATGGAAATAAATTTGTTTTGGTTAAACCTTTAATTTAAATAATGAAAGTAAAAAAATTTTTACTAAAGTTTTCTTAACAAAAAAATAACTTAAAATATTAAAGTAAAAGATTTTAAAATTGAATTTTTAAGTGTTACTAGTTTTCTTCAAAACCTCTGCCACTGTGTCTACATGAACTGAAAGATGTCTAATTTTCTTCCTTAAAATAAGTTTTTAGTCACAAAGGATTACTACCTTATCCTTACAACTTAATCTTTCCCAGCTCATAAAAATCTTTACTTAATTGTATCAAGATTTTGTAAGAAAACAAATACTTATGCTGTCATATTAATGTAAATTAGCATGGCAAATGAAAAGGAAAATCAAATCTAGTAGGAGAAATAAACAACTGGAGTACAAACTAAAAATAATGTTCCCTAAAAGATTAAGCAAAAATGAAATTTAAGGAGGTAAGGAAGGCAGAATTACCTCTCTCTTTGGCAGATGTGTATTTTACAGAATAAGTATCATTTGAGCTGGATACTAAAGAAGAATAAGACTTATCTATGTATATCTAGGATTGGAAGGTATTTTGTATGGTGAAAGCAACATGGCTGAAGGTATTTTTAGGTAACCAATAATTCAATGTGATTAAAGCTTTGGTTGGATAAACAGGAATACAAGGAAATTAATTTGGAAAAGTATACTAGGTCCAGATCATAAAGAAACTTGATCTCTAGGGACTTTGGACATAATGGTATTGGTATAGTCAGTAGGGAGCCAGTGAAGGTTTTTTTTGAGCAAAGGGTGTGCCTCAATGTCATTAATCGGCCATTATATTGGTCACTTAGAGGAATGGGGCATAAAGACCAGAAAAGGGGAGACCAACCGGGCTGTTGCAAAGATAGGGGGAAAATGAATTAAAGTGATGGAAGGAAAGAAAAAGGGAAAGTTGAAAGAATTACAAGGGTACAATGAGCAGGTCTGCAATAGATGAATGTATGTTAAGTTTTAATAACAAAGGAATATAGCTTTGGTGGTTCAGAGGATACTAGCCTGATACTGGTCCAGGTTGATAGACAGATGTCTGAGGAAATGAGTTTTGTAGTGTTTTGAGTACCAGAGGGTCATCATCCACATGAAAATATTTTTCAGAGTTGGACCCTTGACATACTTCCTAGACTTCTGTGACACTATTCCCTTGACCATCCCATTTCTGGATGTTCCCTACAGATATCTCTTATCTACCTACCTTTAAATGTTGATAATACACCCTTAAGCATTTTTTACCTCAGGGCTTTCCATCCTAGTTCCAAAGCATAGGTTTACTAAGCTTGCAGCTCTCAGAGCAATAGGCTTGGAGCCAACTTCCCATTTACTCAGGTGTCCCATACATTGATCTTTTCCTGCCTAACATGACATGTAAAAGATTGGAAGGCAGTGATCTACACACTCCTCCAGGATGATCTCCTTGGTGTCTATGACTTCTAGTATCATTTTTACAACTCAAGCATCCAGGCCCCAGGCATATTTATACAACTCTACTAAACATCTATTTTTAAACGTCACATAGGCATGTCAAACACAGCATGTCAAAACTGAATTTCCCCCTTTTAATCCCAACGTTTAAATCTTTCCTCTTTAATTCTTGATAATAGCACTTGCCTGCACCAACCAACTTAGTCAGCAAGCTGAGAGCCATTTAGAATTTATTTCTCTTGACATATAAACTTTCTACTTCTTAAATAATACTTGGCCCCAAACAGAGAAGGAATGTAGTTCTGTACTTAAATAGCTTTCCTCCCTATTTTTCCATTCCTTTTTGAACTGAAGAAACAGATACATTGGGCCATATACATTTAAACTTTGTTCTTTATTCACACATCCTTTGGCAGTGTTCTGTTTCACACACACACACACACACACACACACACACACACACACACCCCGCCCCCATGCCCACGCCTAGTCCTTAATGTTCCTCTCTTTAAGCCTCAACTTCAACTACTGTGATTTATCCAAAGAATCAGTCAAAGGATTGATGGTGGGAGAAGATTAAATACAAGTTCCTACAGTATATAAGTGGCCAGAATTTTGTGAGCTTGAGTCAATTAACAAAGATAGCAATTCAGTTTTCATTAAACTCCTCTGCCCTTTTGCCACTAGTTAGGACCTATAGACAAGAACTAGAGAAAAATGAACCAGAAATGACCAAATTAAGTTTTATGTATCAGGGTACTCTTGATCAGAAATGACAGAAAACTCAGATCAAATTGGCTTAGACAATAAGGAATTTCGTTAGCATACATAACTAGTAGTCCCAGGGTAGGTCAGTCATTTAGGCATGGTTTAACCAAGGCTCAAGCTCTCTTTCTGTAGTTATCTTCACCCATAATAAATGAAATATTTGTATGAAAACTTAACAATGAACAGGATTGCATTGTTCATTCTCTTCACCTCAGAGCCGAACCAACCTTTGCATTTCTTACTCCTGTCCCCTCAGCAGCTGTTATAGATGTCTGGTGTCTTCTTTCATTCTTTGTATTTTTTTTGTTTTCAATTTGGCCACCAGATTACATTTTCCCCGGAAGTCCTACGTTGGCTTAGGACTTGACTTCTCTTTCCTACATGACTCCATCTCTGGGGCTGAGGCCAGTCTGCACACTGGAGGACTGCTGTACCATGGGCACAAATAAAATAGATTTTGGTGGGTGAGCCTCACACAATGTGGCTGACCAAAAAAAAGCAGGGTGGTGTGGGGGTGGGGGACAAATAAAGAAAAGAAAAAGAAATAGAGGAGGTAAATTTCAAGTGAAAAGTATTTATTTTACAGTATAATGGTTCCTAACTGAAAGTTAAGAAGCATCAAAAAGTTAGTCATTTTGTTTTCACAGTTTCTGACCTAGAGGGGGGAGAAAGTCATTCTGGACAAGCAAGATGAAACATCTTGATTATACTGTTCTAAAAATGTGTGCCTTTAGGTGATTCTGAACAACGCTTAAATGACCTAACTGTGATGCCTCAGCCTCGTGATAATACAGTGGTGTTAGATTCTGAATGTCAAGTTCCTGTGCAGAAGGTAAGAGTAATTATTTTTTTTTTCACAAATCTTGAAGGGATTTAAAATATGGAAGTGGCATGCATGAGAGGTATTGTAAGCCCTAACTTGAATGAGATTTTGGATCTCAAAGCCTAATTTTTGCCTATTTTTTTTTAAAGTGACACCCTTCCCTCTTCCTCTACCATCAGTTCCCATGATTGTATTTAACTGTAAATTCTATAATGCTGGTATTTGCCAGCTGTTCCCAATGCTTAGCACGTAGTAGGAACTAAAATGTTGAAATGAAAGCTGAAGGAGGAATGGGAGTGTGTGGCTTGTTCTCTTCACAACAAACTGTTTCCATTCTTGACATTATTTCCTGCCCTTGCTCCCTCACTATCACAGTACACTCACTTTTTGAAAAGACAGGGTCCAGAATTTTGGTACCAGAAGAGATCTTTGAGAATTAGTCTTTATGAATAAATTGGCTGAGACAGTTCAAGCTTCTTGTCCAAATAATAGCTGAGATTAAAACAAAACATTTCATCAAACTCTCAACTGCTTATCTTTTTACTTAGAAGTCCTAGCTTTGCTGTTCTTTTCTTATTTACTTCTGCCTCAAGAAAAGGCATCCTTTTTTTTTTTTTTTAAAGATTTTATTGGGGAATTGGGGGAGGGCAACAGACAAGTTGCTGTCCTTTTGTTCTTCAGTCTAGTTGTGGAGGACGTCGCTTCACTGGCCCATGTTGGTATTATCATTGCGCTCTTCCTGGGTAAGGCAGATCGGTCGCCGGTCACTGGACGGCCGCTCATGGCAGCACTTGGCAGCTCACGCTGGCTGCCGGCCTCTCACGGTAGCTTACGGGAGCCCACTAAAGCTCCACTGCAGCCTATGCCGTCGCCGGTGACTCACGGCAGCCTAGCTCTAGGTTGAGCTGTTGTTCATCATCTTAGCTGTAGAGGGCGTAGCATCACTGGCCCATGTGGGATCCGAACCGGGGCCCTGCTGCTCAGAGCTGTCGTCCCAAGCCAACTCTTCACCAACATGCCACTTGGCCAGCCCAAAGACATCCCTTTTTGCTGAGACCAACTCATCTATCTCTGTCCTCAGTTTTTGTTTCATTCAACAGATTTATTGTGGAGCTCTCCTGCCATCTCTGTAGTCTCTAGCGATTATTCCTTTTGTCTTATTTTCTCACTGCTTGTTTACATCTTAAACCAGGGTAGCAGCTATAGCATTGTTGACATTTTGGGCTGGATAAGTCTTTGTTGGGGGTAGGCCTGTGCATTGTAAGATGCTTAACAGAAACCTTAACCTCTACCCATTAGATGCTAGTAATACCCTTTCCCCCACCCCCATATGACAACCAAAAATGGCTATTGACATTGTCAGATCTTTTCTGGACAGAGGGGGATCACACCCAGTTGAGAACCGATGCCTTAGTTTTACTTATCTTCTAGCTGCTCTTCTATCCTTGTAATTTGCCCTATCAGAGGAACCAATGATCTCTAAAATTGCTTACTCCCTCCCCAAAACTTCAGAGGGTGAGAGAGAAACCAGGGTCTTTACTACTTCTCTCTGACTGAACATTCACTATGATGATTTCAGTTATAGACTCAAATATACAACTCCAGACCTCACCTCTTGTAACTTTTCATCATTTTTTATAACTCTCAGTCCCCTACAGCCAAGGAGCTGCTAGATTCTTTGGGTTTTACTTTCAAGATGTCTCCTTTCCACTTCCACCTCATAAAGCAGGCCTGATTGTCTTCAATCTGAGCTCTCTTTAACATTCATACCTGTTCCGATTAACTTGAAACCCTCCTTGTTCTAATCCATACCACTTTTAGCATTTTCACATTATTCCTCTTCATATATTACTCTGATCATATTACTCATCTGTATGAAATCTTCAGTGGGTTCTAACTTTTCTCCAGAATGAAGACTAAACACTGTTATATTATCACCCCAGTCTAGCGTTTCAGTCTTAGCTATATGCCTTGTAATTCATTGAAACTGAACTACTCATTTCTTCCCAGCTACTTCTAGTAATACATTTAATTATGTTCTTTCTTCAATGAGGAATGTTTTCCATCCTCATCTCTGCCTGTCAAAAGTCTTCTTGTTCTCTGGTACCTGAAAAACTGCCCTGTACTCCAAACCCACTTAAGAACTTTTCTGTTTTAGGGTTTGCCAAAATTTCATTCCAGTTAAACAAATTTCAGTCACAAAGCCAGAGACCAGGGTTTCATCCTCCTTTTTTTTCCAATTAAACATACTACCAGGTATTACCTGTTCTGTTTCAAATCTCTTATCTGAAGGTGAGATTCTTTAACTGACTTGAGTAGTCAAATGAACTCTGGAATTGGTATTTAGGCTCTTCAAGAGTAGGAACAAAAACAACTTTTATTGACAATATAATGTAAGTAAACATCATCTTCAGGCTTTCATATTGATTGCATATCAATAATAAAGCTTTGGGTATGTTCCATTAAATAAAATATATCATTAAGATTTTACTTTACAAAAAACTTTTTAATGTGGAACTGGAAGATTTTAAACTATTGGGCAGCACTGAGCTAGACCATGGCATATCTCGTTTATGAACAGTGGTCACAATCAATTAATTTACTCTTTTTTTTTTCTTTAAGATTTTTTTTTTATTGGGGAACAGTGTTGGGGAATTGGGGAAGGGGAAAATCCAAGTTGTTCTTCAGACTTAGTTGTGGAGAGCGCAGCTAGCTCAGCTCCCAAGTCCAGTCGCCATCCGGCCGCCCTTCGGCAGCTCGCACCCACTCAGCTCAAGGTGCTGTGTTCAATCTTAGATGTGGATGGGTGTAGCCACCATCCCATGTAGGAGTCGAACCAGCAACCTTGTTGTTAGGAGCACATGCTCTCACCAGCTGAGCCATCCTGCTACCTGTTGGCAGCTCAGCAGCAGCTCAGCTCAGGCGCAGCTCACTGGCATATGTGAGAATCGAACCAGCGACCCTGTTGCTCAGAGCTCACACTCTTAACCAACTGAGCCACTCAGCTGGCCCCAGTTAATTTATTCTTGATAACAAAGAACAGAAAAATAGTTATGTCAGCAAATGCTCAAAAAATTACTGTGTCATTCTTATGGTGTCATCTTACTTTGCCTCTTTTTAATCATTTGTATGTTTGCTTTTTTATTTCCCTAGAGGATTATATATATTTTCATTATAGCGACAGGTTTATTTATTTTTATATTGCTTGCAGATTGTCATACCCTGAATACATGTTTTACATTGAATTGAAATAATTGTCAAGCATGTTATTTTAATTTGGTCTTAGATGAATAATTGAATTTAGCTTACCTGTTTTTTATATTTTCATATTTTTTCTGACTTGAGTGAACTAACTTTTTAAAGCTTAGTAAAATCACATGAAGCCTTTGGAGTTTTAATTTGATCTATTACTGTATCAAAAAATATTGTTTTCCTTACAAAATTTGGTTGACATCTGTAGACATAGACTGAATCAAATATGTGTTTTAGGATATAAAGATCAAGAATGCAGACTCTTGGAAAAGTTTAGGCAAACCCGTCAAAACTTCAAGTGTACTGAAATCCTCAGATGAGCTTTTCAACCAATTTAGAAAAGCAGCAATAGAAAAAGAAGTAAAAGCTCGAACACAAGAACAAATACAGAAACATCTGGAACAAAATACAAAGGAACCAAAAGTATTTCAAGAAAGTCAGAGGTCTGTAATTTACTGGGTTAAGGAGACCTTGGGAGAGATCTAGACATGTATTAAAAATACATTAAATTTCTGTTTTGTCAAATAAGTATGATTCAGCTATTTAGTAGAGCACAGCAAAGTATAACTGCAAAAAGAATTTTTATTGATATTTTTATTGATAAGTAGTAGTCTGCTTTGGAGAGGGTAGAAATAAGTTATTTATTATTATTATTTTTTAAATATTTTATTGGGGAATTGGGGGGAGGGAATGGTGTTGGGGAATTGGGGAACAGCCAAGTTGTTGTCCTTCAATCTTAGTTGTGGAGGGCGCAGCAAGCTCAGCTCCAAGACCAGTTGCGCTGCTCAGCTCAAGGTGCCAAGTTCAGTCTTTAGTTGCGAGCGGGCATAGTCCAACACCTCGAATAGGCAGCCTTGTTGTTAGAGGAGCACATGCTCTCACCAGCTGAGTTTTCCTGCCACCTGTTGGCAGCTTCAGTGGCAGCTCAGCTCAGGCACAGCTCACTGGCCCATGAGAGAATTGAACTGGCGACCCTGTTGCTCAGAGCTCACACTCGAGCAAGCTCTTAACCAACTGAACCACTTGACCGGCCCTAGAAATAAGTTATTGATTAAGCTATTAAAGATACTAATATTACTAAGTTATAAACATATAATTTTCCAGAAATGTTTTAATATTGTTTCTATTGTATGTATAAGAAGATAATGATATACCTTGGTCACAGCTTAGCAAAACCTTCTCTTTGTTTATATAGATTGCCCTATGTAAAATTTGACTTCAAATACAAAGTTTAAAAACGATATCATAGCCTTTTGAGCTTCCTTAGCTCGGCCCTCTCCAAACTCTTTGGCGTGTACTTTCTTTTCTAATAATGGCCCTGAGCCATTCTCTACTGTTCGGGCCACTTCTGTTTCTTTGAAATGTATTTTTTTCTTCTAATAAACTGTCCTTTACTGCAACTTAAAAAAAAATTGATATCATAACAGATGAAAGGGGTACCTAGAACATTGTTTTATATTTGTCATTTAATAACATATCTTTGTAATAACTTTTAAGGAACTTGAAACCTACGTTGAACTGTACTGTTTCTTTCAGAGACCCTGGCTTCACTCTAGAATCTTTTCCAAATAAGATGCAAAACAAGTGCCTTGGAGAAGAGCAGAAAGTACATCAACAATCATTGGAAGCTCAGGATAAACGTAACCTCTGGCTTCTCAAAGACCGTAATTTAGCAAGGGAGAAAGAACAAGAGCGGAGGAGGAGAGAAGCAGTAAGTGAACTTGATTTAGTTGACTAAATCTGACAATGAAAGGATTTAACAGAGCATTGTCTTTCACACGTTCAAAGATGTATTTGAGGTAGTTTTTCAGTGACAGTGGAATTACCTTTTTAGTGAAGATCAAGTCCTAAAATCAGAGCCTAAAATAAAATTTTCACAGTCAAAAGATACAAAGTCAAAAGACACAAGCATAGACAAAAGACATTCTGGAGCTGCTAGACTATGTGGGTTCGAATCCTGGTTCTGCCATTTACTAGACTTAAACCTCTCTGTGCTTGAATTTCTTTAAAAAGGGGGAATAATAATGCCTATTGTGAAGATGAAATGAATTCAGATGTATTACGCACAGAGGAAAATGCCTGGCACGTAGGTAAAGTGATTTATCACTTACTGTTATTACTCTTGAAAAATTTATAAACCATGTATGAATTGTGGTTAAAAGATCTGCCATCTGTCCCAGGTCAGTATTTCTTTAGTTGAACATTCGATGAAGACGTTCACATGCATTATGTCAATTACATTTTAATAAGATTGGAAATAAAAAAATAAATTGATTTATGTTTAGGAGTCCTAATATACAGAAAATGATCGTTTAAAAACTGGAATTGACTCCTTCTCTTACCCATGGATTTAGAAGTGTATTTAATTAACTCAATAATTACCAAAAATTGGGGAATTTTCTGGCTAGTGAGTGATTTCTAATTGAATTCCATTGTGGTCAGACAACATACAATGTTTGTCTTGAATTCTTTTAAATTCACTGAGATTTGTCTTATGGCCCAGACTATAGTAAATACTCTGAGTGCACTTGAGAAGAATGGGTCGAGTATTGAACAGGCCAAGTTGGTTGATAGTGTTGTTCAAGTTTACTATGTTCTTTCTGGATTTCTGCCTACTTGTTCTATCAAATATTGAGAGAGGGGCATTAGTATCTATGATTATATAATTGTAGATGTCTTTTTGTCATTGTAATTCTATCAGTTTTATTTCATGTATTTTGAAGCTCTATTATTAGGTGCCTAAACATTTGGATTGTCATGTCCTCTTGGTTAATTGACCCCTTTTCATTAAAAAATTATCTTCTTTATTCCTGGTAATGTTTACCCAGAAATATAACCACTTCACCTATTTTTTATTACCATGTTGGCATGGTGTAAAAATTATTTCCATCCTTTTACTTTTAAACCTGTGTTTGAAAAGTGAGCTTCTTGCAGGCAATGTGTAGTGAGGTCCTGCTTTAAAAAAAAAAAAGAAATCCAATCTCTGCCTTTTATAAGACTATTTAGATGATTAAATTAAATATTATGAAAATGGTTGCATTTGAATCCATCATCTTGCTATTTCTTTTGTTTGTCTCATCTGTTGTTATCTTTTTTCTTATTTTTTGTATTCTTTTAGATTAAGTATTTTTTTATGATTCCATTTTATTTCCTTCATTGGTTTATTATCAGTAACTTTGTTATTGTAGTGGTTGCTTTAGTGTATATTTTAGCTCATCACAGTCTTCCTTTGAGTTGTTATACCACTTCATGTTCAGTATAATAGCTTTCAATAATGTACCTCCATTTCTTCCCAGCCTTTATGCTATTGTTTAAGCAGTCAAATTACCTCTAAAAACTTTAATAAGAAATTTACCTATGTGGTTACCATTTCCAGTGCTTTTCGTTCATTTGTTTGGATCCAGATTTCCAAATGGTATAATTTCCCCAAAGGACTTCCTTTTAACATTTCTTGTAGTGTGAGTCAGCTGGTGGTGGATACTTTCAGCTTTTGTATATCTGAGAATATCTTTATTTGGCCTTTTTTTTATTATTAATAGATTTTATTTTTTAAAGCATTTTATATTCATAGCAAAACTAAACCAAAAGTACAAAGAGTTCCCACTTATTACTCTCCTTCCCTCATCAACATACAACCTCCCCTGCCATCAACATCCCACATTAGTTAACAAAATCCATGAGCCAACATTGATAAATTATGTCAACTTTAGTTTATGAAACAAAGTCCATAGTTTCCACTAGGGTTCATTCTCTGTGTTAACATTTTTTTACGGATTTTGACAAATGTATAATGACATAGTGGTGGCAAACACCAACCATTATACTACCATCAGAATAATTTCCCTTTCCTAAAAGTCCCCTGGGCTCCCCCTATTCCTGCCTCCCTCCCTCCTACTCCTGCCAACAACCGCAGATCTTTTTTTATCTCCATTTATGCCTTTTCTAGAATGTCAGATAGTTGAAATCATACAACACTTAGTCTTTGCAGGTTGGCTTTTTTCACTTAGTAATTTGCATTTAAAGTTCCTCTGTGTCTTTTTGCAGCTTGACAGTTCATTTCCTTTTAGTGATGAATGTCCATTGCATGGATGTACCACAGTTTATTCATTTACCTATTAACAGACATCTTTATTTTATTTATTATTATTTTTTAAAGATTTTATTGGGAAATTGCAGAAGGGGAACAGTGTTGGGGAATTGGGGAAGGGAAACAGCCAAGTTGTTGTTCTTCAGTCTTAGTTGTGGAGGGCACAGCTAGCTCAGCTCCAAGTTTAGTTGCCATCTGGCCGCCTATCTGCAGTTCGGGGCTACTCAGCTCAAGGTGCCGTGTTCAATCTTAGTTGCAGGTAGGCGTAGCACACCATCCCATGCAAGAGTCAAACAAGAAACCTTGTTGCTAAGAGCACATGTTCTATCCACTGAGCCATCCTGCCACCTGTTGGCAGCTCAGCAGCAGCTCAGCTCGGGTGCAGCTCACTGGCCCTTGTGGGAATTGAACCAGCAACTCTTGCTCAGAGCTCGCGCTCTTAAGCTAACTCTTAACCAACTGAGCCACTCGGCAGGCCCCAGACATCTTTATTTTTTATTTTTTTATTGGGGAACAGTGTGTTTATCCAGGAACCATCAGCTCCAAGTCAAGTAGTTGTTTCAATCTAGTTGTAGAGGGTGCATCTCAGTGGCCCATGTGGGAATAGAACCGGCAACCTTGGTGTTATGAGCACTGTGCTCTAACCAACTGAGCTAACCAGCTGCCCCTTACCAGACATCTTGATTGCTTATAGCAATTATAATAAAACTGCTTTGACATTTAGTGGGCAGGTTTTTGTGTGGACATGTTTTCAACTTGCCTTCATTTTTAAAAATGTTTTTTTGCTGGACATAGGATTCTGGATCGTTAGGGTTTTTTCCAGTACTTTAAAGATGTTCTTTCACTGTGTTGCTTGCTTGGTTTCCAATGAGAAATTTGATATCTTTGTTTCTCTGTATAAAACATGCCTTTTCTCTGGACACGTTTAATAGTTTTATTTATCACTGTTTTTAGCAATTGCTTTCTTCATATTTCTTGTCCTGTGTTGATCATATTAGAGATGTAAGCCTGGAAAAGTTTGGGGGATTATGTCTTATTTTTTTTGTACCCTCTTTTTCTCCTTTCAGTGACTCCAGCTACTCATGTATTAGGCCACTTGAAGTTGTCCCACAGCTCAGTGGTACTCTTTTAATTTTTGAGTTCTTTTTTCCCATTGCTTTTCATTTTGGATAAATTCATTAATCTTTTCTTCAATGTTCAATCTGCTGTAGATTCCATCCAGTGTAATTTTCATCTCAGAAGTTATAGTTGTCATCTCCAGAAACTTGATTTGGACCTTTTTTTATATTTTTGTATCTCTATTAAACATTTGAACGAATGGAATACAGTCATGAAAACTGTTTTTGATGGGCTTCTCTGCTAATTCTGACATCTGTGTCAGTCCCAAGTTAGTTTCAGTTGATTGATTAGTCTCCTCTTTGTGGATGTTTTTCTGGTTTCTTGCTTCCTGGTCATCATTGATGCCAGGTGTTGTGACTTTTACCTTGTTGGGTGCTGGATGTTTTTATAATCTTGAGAAAGACATATTAATTACTAGGACATACAGGAGCATTAGTTTGAGAAGAAAAAAGCCATTGGCTTTGGCTGTCGAATTGATTATAATACAAATGAATTTCTTAGGAAAAAGTTTGTCAGCTTTTTTTTTATAATACTAAGGTAGAAACAAATTTAGCAGTGTTGTAACATATGGTGGAGCTTACTTTAAAGCAGTGTGGTTTTATAGAACTTTCTACAATGATAGAAATATTCTTTATGCAATCAAATAAAAATAGCGACTTGTCACATATGGCCATTGAGCACTTGAAATGTGGCTAATAAATTTTACTTAAGTTCTTCTTTGATGATCTAGAATTTTCCCTGTTGGTACTCAAAAGGGCCTGATTTCAGTCACACGTGATTTCTCAGCAACATACTTGCCACCTAACAACCCTAGGTCACCTGATATAATTTCTCATACCCCAAGCACTTTTCTCGAACTTCAATAGACCCAGAACTCACTGAAACTTGACTAATAACGCCATATCTAGCAGCTTGATAACTACCATTATTGACAACCTGAACTCTTTTATGTTGCTACTTACTACTTGACAGATCTATACTCTGAAAAGTTGCAAAAACCCAGAAGAGCTCTCAAGAGTTCACTTCATGCCAGTTCCTTTGACCAAGTTTTTTTATCTTAAATTTGAATGGCTGAAGTGTATATTAGGACCACTGAGAAAGGAATATTCAGGCTATGGTGTCAGCTGCAGAGAACATTAGTATGTAAACTGTGGTATCGAAGGTTAATTGGTGTAGAGAACATCCAGTTACACATCAATAATTATTGCACAAGTGCAGATTTTAGTCAGGATACAAGAGAATTTAAAATAAATTATCTTTAAATAAAAACATTTTATTACTCGTTCTTGGAATTTTGCAGTATGTTTAGATACTTTTAGGAGTATCATGATATTTCAAGTAGGACAATATAACCTCTCCTATTGGAGGGTTAAAGTAGAATTTTTAGGGAACTATCTGGGCAAGACATTTAGCATCCTACGAGCTGGCATTAGGAAAGTAGCCTGGGTTAAGATTTAAGAATTTATCCTTTTCCTCTCTAAGGCATATTTAAGGAAATTTTTTAAAATATTTTTTTAATTTTTCAATTATAGTGGACTTACAATATTATATTAGTTTCAGGTGTACAACACAGTGATGAGACATTTATATAACTTATGAAGTAATTACCCCAATAAATCCAATACCCATCTGACAACATACATAATTACAATACTACTGACTATATTCTCCATGGTATACTCTTCATCCAGTGACTATTTTCCAACTACCAATTTGTACTTCTTTATCCCCTCTCCCACTTCACCCATCCTCCCAACCCCGTCCCCCAATCCAGTAACCATCAAAATGCTCTGTGTATCTATGAGTTTCCTTCTGTTTTGCTTGTTCATTTATTTGGTTTTTTAGGTTCCACATATAAGTAAAATCATATAGTATTTGTCTTTGTCTGACTTACTTCTTATCATAATACCCTCTAGGTTCTTTCATGTTGTCACAAATGGTAAGATTTCATTTTTTTATGGCTGGTTAATATTCCATTGTATGTGTAACACACCTTCTTTATCCAATTGTCTATTGATGGACACTTAGGTTGCTTCCATGTTTTGTCCATTGTGAATAATGCTGCAATGAACATATGGATGCACATGTCCCTTCAAAGTAGTGTTTTGGGTTTTTTTGGACAAATACCCAGAAGTGGAATTACTGGGTCCTTCTTTGTCTCTTATTATATATAGTCTTTGTTTTAAAGTCTATTTTGGCTGGTATAAGTATTGCTACTCCAGCTTTTTTTTTAGTTTCTATTTTCATGAAATATCTTTTTCCATCCCTTTACTTTCAGTCTGTGTGTGTCATTCGATCTAAAGTGAATCTCTTGTAGGCAGCTTATGTAAGAGTCTTGTTTTCTTATCCTTTCACCCATTCTATCTTTTTTTATTTTTAAACTTTATTGGGGAAAAATGTGTTTTGTGGGGAACAATGTGTTTTTCCAGGACCCATTAGCTCCAAGTTAAGTTGTTGTCCTTCAATCTTAGTTGTGGAGGGCGCAGCTCAGCTCCAAGTCCAGTTGCCATTTTCAATCTAGTTGCACGGGGCATAGCCCACCATCCCATGTAGGAGTCAAACCGGCAACCTTGTTGTTAAGAGCACAAACTCTGTAAACAACTGAGCCATCCAGCAGCTCAGCTCAAGTCATTTTCTTCAATCTAGTTGTAGAGGGCACACACAGCTCACTGGCCCATGTGGGAATCGAACCAGCAACCCTGTTGCTTAGAGCACAAGCTCTAACCAGCCGAGCCACCCATCCACCCCACCTATCCTACCTTTTGACTGGAGCATTTAATTCATTTACATTGAAAGTAATTGTTGATGTATATGTAGTTATTGCCATTTTATTCATATTTATTTATCTTTTTTTCTTAATGAAGTCCCTTTAACATTTCTTGTAATACTGGTTTGGTGGTGATGAACTCCTTTAGCTTTTCTTGTCTGGGAAGCTCTTTAGCTGTCCTTCGATTCCAAATGATAGCTTTGCTGAGTAGAGTAATTTGATTCTCTGCTTCATCTAATCTATTATTGATTCCCTCTAATGTAATCTTTATTTCAATTATCGTAGTCTTCATTTCTGACTGATGCTTTTTTATGTTTTCTATCTCCATTTTTATGTTTCCAGTCTTTGTTGAAGTTGTAAGATCATTGAGCATCCTTATAACCAGTGTTTTGAATTCTGCATCTGGTAGATTGATTTCTCCATTTTGTTTAGTTCTTTCTCTGGAGCTTTGTTATGTTCTTTTATTTAGGACATGTTTCTTTGTCTCTCCATTTTTGGCTGCATCCCCCTGTTTGTTTCTAGGTATTAGGTAGAGCTGCCATGTCTCCTGGTCTTACTAGAATGGGCTTATGTAGTAGGTGTCCTGTGGGGCCCAGTGGTGCAGTCTCCCTGGTCACCTGATCCAGGTGCTCCAGATGTGTCCCTTGTGTGAGTTGTGTGTGCTCTCCTGTTGCAGTTGAGCCTTGGTTGCTGTTTGCACGTCAATAAGAGGGCTTGATCATCAGGCTGATTGTGAGGGTTGTGAGGACTGGCCATGACTACAATGCAGGTGCTATTGTGCAGTGCTTCACCTTACAGAGCAGGATTCACTTTAGCAGGGTTCTTTCTGGTGCCTGTCCAGTCTGCCCTTTGGGTATGTTTTTTGTGGAGGTGATTGGGTGGTGTTCTGGTGTGGTCTGAAGATGGCTACCAGGTGTGTTGGTTCTGAGGCCTCTTGGGGTAGGGGCTCTGTTGCAGGCCAAGATCAGCCACTGCCTATGCCCTGCCCAGGGCCACTTGGTATGAGCTACAAATTGGTTTGCTGATGGTTACCACTTGTGCTGAGCCTGGAGGTGCCTGGGAGAGGCTAAGCTGTGAACCGAGGCCAGATGCTGCTTGTTTGGGGTCTGTGAACCTTTGAGAGATTTTAGGAAAGTCCACCGTATGAGCCAAGACAGGCTGTTTACATGGAAAAGCCACTGGAAGCAATTTGGGTAGGCCCCCAAGTTGGGTGGGCCAAGGTCTCAGGGAGTCACCAGAGTGAGGCAAACAATGTTAGCCAGGTTGATGGAGACTCAGTCTGCACCCTGGGGCGTGTTCAACAAAAGAACAATGGTGCCTGCCAGCACTTCTGCCTGGGAGAAAGCTGCCCCTCCAGCCCTTTCCCTGAGGCCAGACAATTCATTTCCTTTCTGTATGTCCCTGACACCTTTCAAACTGCTTCCCCACTGCTGGAGCTCAGAGCGAGCAGTGAGTCTGTCAACAAGTACATCCATGCTTGGGCCCTTGAAGAGGAGCACTCCAGCTGCCCTCTGTCTCACTCAGCCACAGTCTCCACTGGTTTTCATGTCCAAAAGTTGTGGGGACTTCTCTTTTGGCCCTGGAGTTCTGGGCTGGAGAGCCTGGTGTCGGGCTGTGACCTATGGCTCCTCATGGGGGACCTCCACAGCTGAGATAACTCCTCAATTTTTAACTGCTATGTGGGACTGGGACCAGCCAGTTCTGCATCCCTGACCCTCCTACCAGTGTCAACATGGCTTCTTCAGCATATTCTCAATTATAGGACTTCTGTTCAGATAGACTTCAGGTGATTCTCAATGATGGTTTTTCTGTAGTTTAGTTGTAATTTTGATGTGGTCACGAGAAGAAGCAAGCACAGAATTTATTCCACCATCTTAACCAGAACTCTATTTAAGGAAATTTTTGTAGTTTGTAAAAGTCACACATAACTTTTTAATGTTCTCTTAGTAGGTAAGTTATAATTACAAATCTTTTCCCAGATAATTAGTGAGAAAACTGATTCCCACCTGGGCAGTCAACAAATTGGTGCTTTTACCTACCACTCTGGGCTGTTACAGTTCACCAATAAAACAATTTTTTTTGAACTTTCACAGTTGGTGTCATTTCAGATGCCAGAGAATATCTAACCTATATCATAAGAGCATTTAGAGAAGGCTTCAGAATATAGTAAACATTTATTTCCTTTGTCTTAATTAGCCTTTTCTTTATGTTAGCTTATTTTTTAATAATTTTTTTAATTTTTCAACTATAGTTGACATACAATATTACATTAGTTTCAGGTGTACAACATAGTAATTAGACATTTATACAACTGAAAAAGTGATCACCCCAATAAATCTAGTACCCACTTGACACCATACATAGTTATTACAATATTATTGACTATATTCCCAAAGCTATACTTTATATTCTCATGACTATATTGTAACTACCAATTTGTACTTTTTTTTTTTTTGGGTACTTCTTTTTTTTTTTTTTAGCTGAGCCATCCTGCCACTTGTTGGCAGCTCAGCGACAGCTCAGCTCGGACCAGGAATCGAACCGCTGTTGCTCAGAGCTTGCACTCTTGAGCAAGCTCTTAACCAACTGAGCCACTCGGCTGGCCCCAATTTGTACTTCTTAATTCCTTCTCCCTTTTCACCCATTCCCTCCAATCCCCCTCCCATCTGGCAACCATCAAAATTTCTCTGCATCTATATGAGTTTGTTTCTGTTTTGTTTGTTCATATATTTTGTTTTTTAGATTCCACATATAAGTGGAATTATTGGGTTGTCAGAAAAGTCATGATGCATTTTTGCCACAAAAAACACAGAAAAAATGTCATGACTTTTCCAACAACCCAATATATGACATTTGTCTTTCTTGATTTGACTTATTTCACTTAGCACAATATACTTTAGCTTATTTTAAATGACTTTTTAGCATTTAATAAAAAACATTGTGCTAAGTGTTATACAGGCAATGTGGTTTGATCTTCATAAACATCTGCATATAAAAACTAAACTTGGTTAAATAATTTGCCTGAGGTTACACAGTTAGTAAGTGGCAGAATCAAGGAAAGCCCAAAGTTTTAATATTACATATTGTATAGTTCTCTCACATAGGTAAGATTGGTTCATGCACAAAATGATTTTATGTGTCTAGTGCTATGTTGGTTACAGAGATACATGAAACAATGTAATCTCAGTTCACCTTCTTATTAATATCTACTCTGTCAATACAGTTTTCTCTCATTTGGAGAGAAAGATTAAACTTGTTCTTAGTGTTCTTGTAAGTTTTAATTTTTATTTCTCACATATTTTAACAAAAATCAGATAGTATATGAACAGAAATTTAAAAATTATATACAAACTCACTATGTTAAATAAGTTGCATTCATACTGTATATGATCTGTTCCAAATGTTGCATATTCATGTTTATATAGATGTAATGAAGGCATAAATTTTTAAAGTAACATTTAAATTTTTTATTCTTTCCCACAGATGGCCGGTACCATTGATATGACTCTGCAAAGCGACATTATGACAATGTTTGAAAACAACTTTGATTAAAACTCAGTTTTTAAATTAACCATCAACTTAAAATGAATGATATAAAAGATTAAAATGCATGTGGCAAAATTATTGCTTCCATATACCAAGATACCAATCTTATGCTGTATTTTGACTGCTCTAAAACGATTAAACAATTTTCACTTACATTTCTTAACAGGTATATGTTAATTTTTTAAATGGCATAATTTACAGGAAATTTTATAATATTGGTTTGCTAGAAATTGAATTAAATTCCCAGATGTTATACATTTTATAAATAATTGTCTGCTATGTATATAGCCCCTGTCTTAGCAATGAAAATCCAAGAAATAGTCCCTTCTTGTTTAAAAATTAAGAATATATAAAGGTGTATCAAAAACATAGTTCTGTTGTGTTTTTAACTTTTAAATATTTGTCTGCCTTCAAAAATGTTTAGAATCTCTAACAAAATATTTGGTTTCTTGAGTGTCAGGTTACATAAGATTTCCTGCTGGTTTTATATCCAAAATTTATATTGAAATTTAAAGAAAATATTACCTGTGGTTTGAACAATTTTGAATTTGAGGCAAAAACAGTAACTAACAGTAAATATTAATTATGTATGTAAGTTTCTATAGGAATTTATACAGCATTTATTAATATACATATGTGATAATGAGTATTTAAATCTTTACTTAATTATAGTCTTTTTTAAATTTAAATCTGTAAATTACTTTTGTTTCATAATTCTCAAGTTGCTATGTATAAATCACGTGTATCAGCTTTATGTATTTTAAGTTTTTGGACTCTTGAAGTGTAACATAATTCAAGCACTATTCTGATACCATCTAAAGTAAAAATTCAAAGTGTGTATATATTATTGAGAGAAAGAAAAAAATTTTCTTGAACTTCATTCATTTTTATAATATTATTTTTTGAAACATCTTTAAACTATCAGCCATTTAAAAAACATGATTAACTAGTGGCTAAAATGATGGTGATACCTTTATGAAACCAGAATTAAAGTGATAGTCATACCCATTAAACCATACCTATTTTTAATGAAGAAATTCATATGCATATACTAAACAGTATGCATTTTAGAAAGATACATCCAAAATACATAATGGTTACCGCTAGGTGATGGGATTACAGTGGTTTTTTTTTTTAATTTTCCACTTTCAGTATTCTTTTTGATATTGATTATGTAATACTTGAAGGTCTGCGGGAAATTTTCCATTTTGAAGACAAAGAATGATAATATAGTAAATAAGAATTTACTTCTGTCAAATACACATTCAATCTTTCAACTGTCTTTAATAAAACTGATTAATGATCTTTCTATATCTAAAAAAAGAAAGTTCAGCTTTATTAACATATCTTTTATATTAAAGAGTAATGGCATTCTTAAGGTTTTTCCTATAAACATTTGGAGCAGCCCTTAGAGCTAGGATATGGTTATCAGTGTTTAGTTTTAGTTTAACCAACTTAAACTTTAATCTTTGCTCAGTCAGTAAGGGGCCCAGCACATTGTAGATGCTCATTGGTATGTTGGTTGAAGTCGGGTTAGCAGAGAAAAATATCAGTTTACAACTGATCCTACCTATGTTATGCTTTTTTTTTTTTTTTTTTAGTAAAAGATTGTTTGGCTTCTCTTAACTTGCATGGAGTTTACTTCTGTTGATTTCATGCATGAATATTACATGTAACTTATTAGCCTTGGACTAAAACCTGGCTTTGTGAGGACCACTTTTCTGTCCCCCTTCTCCTCTCCAACTTCTAAGACTTTTTCATTGTTTTCTGGGATTCCTGGGATTCCTGGTCAGTTAACAACATTCTCTATATAACCAACTTTTTTGCTTGTTTCTTTCCTCTTACTGTTCTTTAGTTCTGGAGGTGTGGTCCTTGGACCACCCCACCAGCATTGTGGGAATGTTTTAGAAATATAGATTCTCCAACTTCAGACTTACTAAATCAGAGACTCTGGGTATGAGGTCCAACAGTCTATAGTTGAACAAGCCCTCCAAGTGGTTCTAATACATGCTAAGTTTGAGAGCCACTGCTCTAACTGAACCCTGGCTGTCTCTTGCAGACTCTCATTTAATTCCTGTGTTTTCACTAATGTTACTAACGTTTTCTTACCTTTGAAGTGCCACTTGCAGACCATTCTTCCTCCTCCCTAAATATCCCAACTTTGTTTTTCATGATCATCAGACTGTGTTAACCATAGTCACTTACCATCTCTGGTTCACTCCTTGTTCCCCAGAGATTTTAGTCTGTCTCACTGTCACTCTCTAATTGACACTTCTCAGTCTCTTGACACCTCTGCTAATGATCTTAATGTCTAATCAACCTTAGCTACTGCCTTGTCATTACCAGTAACTAAAACCCTGCCTTGGTCTCAATTTCAAGGATGCTAGTCTCTCACTACTACCTCCTATCTTTTTCTAGCAATCATTAGACCTCATCATGACCTACAATACATTAATTCTAATGCCTTTTTACAATACCTCTCCCTTTGTGCCCTCACTTCTCTCCTGATCTAAAGTGTATAGTGCATTATTATTTATCATCATTTCCTTGCACACACTCTCAACTCCATGGCTCCTTTCTTTGTTGCAGTCACTTGGCAAAACTCAAATCCTTAAAATATCTGACTGCCTATTCTATACCCATGAAGTTAATTGGTTAGAGAAAGACTTGCAACCATGATAACCAGTTTCACTTTAAATTCATGGGCATAAACTCAAGTTAGTCTTAATGCTGCCCAGAATCTTACTATTATTTTCATGGTCCATTTACTCTCCCTAGGCAGTCAATTCTTTTATTCCATTATGCTCAGACCTCCAAATAATACCACATCCCCCATCATCAATAGATGTATTTCTTTTTCACTAAGATAACAGAAGCAATCTGAGGAGAACTTCTGCCATCTTCCACTACCATATCTACAAGCATCACTATTCATATTCTCTGCTCTCCCCTCTTACTACAGATGAATTGTCCATGCTTTCAGTTAAGGCAAATCTCTTACTACGCTTTCTTACTTCCCCAAGGACATTGCTTTAGCAATTCTGGTTTCAACCATTAATGATCCCTCCTGCAGATAGTTATTAGCATAAAAACGGTTTTTTCTGGAGAATGAAACTTGGTTCTCTTCTTTAAATTAGCTCCTGAAATCTTTGGCCCATTAAAAAAATGTTTTCTTTATAGGAATTTAAAATTTAATAAGATACAACTTAACCTCCAAAGTACAATTCAGTGGTTTTTAGTATAGTCACTCTGTGAATTCATGATGATGAAAGATTCAATGCCTTTCCCCCTGCATTTGGAAACAAGGCAAGGAAGTCCACTCTTATTCAACATATTACTAGAAATTCTAACCAATGTAATAAAAACAAAAATCATACAGATTGGAAATGAATAAAACTGTATTTTTTTGTTTTGGATGGTTTTTATTTCATTAACCACAATTTCCCAAAATAATGGAAGCATTAGAAGTCATTCTTATTTCCAATTCCAAAGTAAATGGCAACATGATTTCACCACAGGCTATGGGGTTTTTTGGGTAACTAATGTTTAAGCAGTTTCTGAATTAATTTAGCTTTAAGGAATAGCTGCTGAATTTCTCATCAAAATCAAAACTTGCTCTATGAAAACATAAGATACAGGTTAGGAGAAAATATTTGCAAACCACATATCTGACAAAGAAATATCATATACAATACATCAAGAACTCTCAAAATGTCAACAGTAAAACCAAACAATTTAACTAGAAAATAGGCAAAAGACATGAACAAAATTTCACCAGAGTACATATACATATATGAAAGCATGTTCACTATCATTAGCCATCAGTGATACATAAATTTAAACCAATGTGAGATATCACTGCACATCTATTAGAAAGGTTACACAGGGATATGAAAGACAGTTCAGGGAATATAATAATGTAAATATTTTGTAGGGTGTCAGATGGTCACATGTCTTGTTAGGGAAACCACTTCATGGATGGGGTAGAGTCTTGATCACTGCACTGTACACCTGAAGCTGATGTATAATATTGTATGTCAACTATAATTGAATATATATATATATATAGTCACATGACATGGAGTATAGTGTGAAAGTGGAGTCAAGGGAATTGTCATAGATATGCATGATATCGGGGGGGGGAGGGAGTTGTCACTTTGAGGGGTAAAAAGTATAACTATTGCACTGTGTTGTACACCTGAAACTAATTAAAAATTTTAAAAAACCATAGAGACAAAAAAAGAATGGGATAACTAAATAATAGAAGCAGTAAATTTTCTCTCCGTTACATTTCAGCAGTGGATGGTTTTGTGTGTTAGGAGTTATAACCCATCTCATTGCTTTAATGTCTCCTAAAAATTAAAGGAAAAATACCTCTGCATTTTATAAAAATGTGTTATTATTTTGGCTCATATTGACTAACGCTTCAAGTTTATAATAATAGCACCCATATTTGCAACAAAGTAGAAGAATATGGTTGAGTGGCTCAGGTGTCAGGAAAATAGGGCTTCTGAATTGTGATCCCGTGTATGTATCATAGCATCGCTGTTTTTTGGAGCCACCATTCTTACTCTGTGCACATGCAACTTATTGTTTATAGAAACAAAGCTTGTTCTTGGAGGAAGGAATCTGCTGGAGACAGGGACATATTGTTTGAAATTTTAAAAAAGCAAAAATAAAACGGTTAAAAAAATAGTGACAACACAGAAATGCTAACAAGGATGCAGAGAAACGATCACTCATACATTGCTGGTTGTAATGTAAAATGGTACAGCCACTCTAGAAATCAGTTGGCAATTGCTTATAAACAAAACTTTCAAAGCCATATGACCCAGCAATCGTACTCTTGGGCATTTATCCCAGAAAAATGAAAACTTATTTTCACACAAAAACCTATACACAAATATTCATAGCAGCTTTACACATAAACAGCCCAAAACTGGAAAAAACCTAGGTGTCATCAATAGGTGAATGGTTAAAGTGTAGAATATACATACTATGTAATA